TTGATTTTTTCTTATTGTGTGCATTAAGAAGGGGAAAACATAATTATAGTTTCATTCTTGAGTTTTGTGAGTGCTGTTATGTTACCAGAAGTTGTTTATTGTATTACTAACTAGGGTAGAAGTGAAAACAAACTGCTATTGCCTAACTACAGGAGTCTTGTATGACAAAAAGACAAACATCCAGGAGGCCAGCCAATGTGTGCATCTTCAGTCAGAGCAAAAAAGTACTGCTCATTTAGTAGTGTTCAAAAAGTTGGGGTCGGGTAAATGGCTTAAATGGCTTTGAAGAAAAATCCAGAAGATGAAAACTGCTGGTATCTGATAATATGGAAAACCTATATATTAGCTCTGAAATTGTTTAGAAGCCAGTAAGAAGAAAGCTCCAGAGACTAATTATAGCCATGCCAGCTGAACAAGGAATTTTAAAGTGGCGATAGGGTAACCCTTCCCTGAGGCTCGAGGGTCTGTAAAGTCATTGTTGAGGGTAAAAGGATCGAATCTTTATTTCTAACATCTGCAATAAGGCCACTTCAACCAGTTCTTGTATGGTGTGAAGTAATTCATGTTTGTTTTCTTCTTTTGTGTGCAATAACTTTGTTTAAAAGTACTTTGGTAGCCTTTTGAGAATATATTCAGTGACTGATCACCATGGAAAACAAAAAGGAAAATAAGACTTATGGTTTATGAAGCCAATCCATTTTGAGGTCTTAAATAGTTTTGACTGCCCCACCCAAGGAATCTTTGCATTGTTCCAAATCTACAGTTGCTTGCAATGAAGAAACAATGTCTTCTATGATTAATAATTTAAATTGCTAAAACAGCTAGTCTGGTTTCATTCCTGGTAAACCATTCAATGTCCTGATTGGGTGACTAATACCTTGTTCCAAACCAAAAGCTTTCCATAATCTTCAATAGCTTGGCACTGTGGTGATACTCAAGCTTACACTAAATGTTTGACTTAGCAGGGATGACAAAAGTCTTGACTATTTCATACTCTCTGGGCTTCCTTTGGTCAGAAATATTACCCTTTCCTTTCCTTCATTTGTCTGATTAATGGATGGAAAAAGAAAGAGGCTGTGAACAGACTAAGAATGAGCAGCTTTATTAAACTCTTACTCTCTTAATGGAATCCCCACAACACTGTTGCTCTACACCTTCCTCTCTCTCTGTTATAGGCCATTACATGTCCTCTCTCAGTCAAAATCCTAAAATTGAAGATACCACAAACTAATCATTCTACACTTGTTTCATTCAACAAAGCCTACAATGATACATGCTATATGCATCTACTCAACCTGCCCTTTTCTGTTACATTTGGTTTGCAGGTGTTTTTGCCTGGCCTAGTACTCGACTACGCAGTGCCACCCCAGTATCTGCTACATGGCTAAAAGAAACATTGATGGCTAACCAGGTAACAGGTCTTCAGTTTCTAAAAGAATAAATGATCAAGGGATGATTTGGAATCAGTGATGTCAGCATGGGGTGGAATGCAAACACCATCCATAGTTTTCTCTTCATAGCAACTGTGGAATGTGGGTGAAATGGAATTTGAAAAGGTGCAGATGATATACTGGGTCCAACAATGCCAGTTACTATGCTCTCAGTACTAGCTGTATCAATATTCCTCAGTACCAACTCCTTGAAGGAACTGATCCTGTAGAAGGACCACTGGTAAATCCTCAACTACTTTATTGACACATTATACTGCTAGACCTTTCCAGCGGGGGTAACCTAGATTTCTAATTGTCAGCTGGGACCTCTGCTGCCTCTATAAAATTTCTCCCACAATTCCCATGCCCACACTTTGGTCTTAACCAACCCATAGCCACTAAGGTATATATCTCTAAGATAGTAGGCCTACACCTTGTTATCTAAGGTATATATCTCTGCCAGGTTTAGGGAAACAGATAGATTATTGAGCCAGAGTAAAGAGAGCTGTCCTCTACAGACAGCTGCACCATGGTAAATGACCTCAGAAATGAACATGACCTAAAGCAAAATAATGTGTTGGAAATCTGACAAACAGATAAAATGCTAGAATTTACTCAGCAGGTATGCCAGCAAAAAGAGAAAGATAAATAGACAAAAGTTTAGGGGCAAAATCATATTGAGACATAGGGGGCCTCACCGGTTGGCTGAAGAGCTGCCAAGGAACCCAGGATGACTTTTCATCACAAGGCTCTCTCAGGCAGTGGCAAGGCCATCCGCAGGTCTTCTTCTCAGGTCCTCGGGGAAGAAATCATGCATGATAAAAGATAGGATTTATGGACACTTAGAGAGACAAAAATTGATTAGGAATAGTCAGCATGGATTTGTGCAAGGAAAATCATGTCTCTCACAAACTTGTTTGAGATTTTTGAGAAAGTTACCTAAAAGGTTGATGATGGCAGATAGTAGATGTTGTTTATTTGGATTTTAGTGAAGCCTTTGACAAGGTTCTGCATGGCAGACTAATTAGTAAAGTTAGATCTCGTGGGATTCAGGGTGAGCTTGCCAATTGGATCCATAATTGGCTTAATGGTCGGAGACAGAAAGCAATGGTGGAGGGTTGCTTTTCGGACTGGAGACCTGTGACCAGCGGTGTTTCACAGGGATGGTTCTGGGTCCTCTTTTGTTTGTCATTTATATAAATGATTTGGATGAGAATATAAAAGGCCTGGTTAGCAAGTTTGTGGATGACACCAAAACTGGTGACATTGTAAACAGTGAAGAAGGTTTTCTAAGATTACAAAGGGATCTTGATCAAATGGGTCAATCTACTGAAAAATGGCAGATGGAGTTCAATCTGGATAAATGTGAGGTATTGTATTTTGGTACAACAAACAAGGATAGGGCTTACACAATTAATGGTTGGACTTTGGGTAATGTTGTAGAACAGTGGGACCTAGGGACGCAGATACATAATTGTTTAAAGTTTGCATCACATATAGACAGGATGGTTAAAAAGGCATTTGGCACACTTGCCTTCATTTCTCAGTCCTTTGAGTATAGCAGTTGGTACGTTATGTTGAGGTTGTGTAGGACATTGGTGAGGCCTCTTCTGAAATACTGCATCCAGTTCTGGTTGCCCAGTTATAGGAAGGATATTATCAAGCTGGAGAGAGCTCAGAAGCAAGTTACCAGGATGTTGCTGGGTATGGAATGTTTGAGTTATAAAGAAAGGGCTGTATAGGGCATTGGACTGTTTTCACTGGAGGTTGAGAGGTGACCTGATAGAAGTTTATAAAATAATGAGAGGTATAGATAGAGTTGATGGTAGTTGTCTTTTCCCTAAGGTGGAGAATTTCAAGAGTAGGGGATACATTTTTAAGGTGAGAGGAGAGACATTTTAAAAAGACATAAGAGGCAATTTTTTTACACAGAGGGTGGTTCACATATGGAATGAACTTCCTGATGAAATGGTGGATGCTGGTACAATTACAACGTTTAAAAGGCATTTGAATGGGTATATGAAAAGGAAAGGTTTAGAGGGATATAGGTCAGGAGCAGGCAGGTGGGACTAGTTTAATTTGGGATTATGTTCGGCATCGACTGTTTGGACCGAACAGTCTGCTTCCATGCTGTTTGACTCTATGACTCTGTGGCTACAACTCTTCTGCTCATCAGTTCCACTGGGGAGGTGATCTGAAAGGCAGGAAGTGGAGTCCCAGAATTCAGAAGCAACACAGGCTACAGGCAAGTAGTATGATAGGGATAGATTTATGGAGTGGGAATCATGAGAATCATGAGAACAGCATGTAGAGGGGCTGGGCGCAGGGCGCAGGGCAGGGCAGAGCTGGGAAACTCATCAGGACCCCACAGTAAATTCCCTCATTAGACTCTAAATGATAACCATTGATTAAGGGACACCACCCTGGCCCCAGAAAGGTGACAAGTGCAATGCTCCCAGCTAATCAAGTCAAATCCCAGAATGAAACTTGGTTTGATTGCTTATAAGCTTCATTTTTCTTTTAGTTTAGGTCAGTAAATGATCATATTCTCAAAAGGTTGCCAATGTACTTTTAAAAAAAGAACAAAAAAGATTATTAAACAAAAGAAAGAACATGAACACTTAATCCTGTACAAAAAAAAGCTATTTTAAATGGTCTCATTGCAAATATCAGAAAAAAATGATTCAACCCTTTTACCCCCACAACAATCTGTCTGAACCTGTTGGTTCAGCTGGCATGCTGTATTCCATTCCTCCCCAACTGTTTTCTACTTTGACCCAATTTGAGGCTTGAAAATAGTTGCCTGCTCAGTGAAAACTGTGAAGTTGGGGGTCAGTCAGCGTGGGGTATCTGCATGTTGGAGTGGAAGTATACTTCCAACTCAGTCAGGGCTCCATGACAACCATGGCTGCCTGACCTCCCAACCACAACATTTCAGCTCACGATCTCACTTGTGATCCTGACTCCTGTGTCTGTGCATTCACATAATTCCATTCTCCTTAGTTAGTGTCTCTTCCTGGGACCCCTATACAGGCTGCTAACTCAGCTCACTTACGAGTGTCCTCAACAGCCTTGGGGACACTTTTCTTCTCTGACGTTCTCACAGTTCTTCTGCTTCTAGAGATTTCTTCTAAACAATCCAAGACTTTTCTAGCAGCCTTGGCAGCTTCAACTGCTAAAAACAGACCATCTCGTGTTAAGGCTTGTTGTCTTTTTCTTAGAACCATGGATATATTTTCAATAGTATGTATAAAACTCTGCTTGCACAGAATCTATAGCATTGTGAAGGCTACATTTCGGGAATTGCCCTTTACAGCAGTCACAAAAGTATGCCACATGTAGTACCATTTGCTGCAGTTTAATAAAATCAACCTCATGATAGCCAGGTCCAAAAGTTTTTGAGTTTCAAAAATTAGTAGTAATAATACATTTGTCTCACGATTTTCCAGTTCAAGTTGCTCTAAATTAAAAGATACATTTACATAGAAATGCTTAATAAAAACCCATTCTCTTCCATATCTGACTACCTTGCAATTTCTTTGAAGGAAAACATTTACTTCTTTTACTTACCCTGAACTGGTTATCAAGATTTAAGTTATTGAAGGAACCAATTGCTTCACTGCCCCAAGTTGATTGTTTTACAATAGACACTTTCTCTGGAATATCCTGAAAGTAAAAAAGAATAATAGATCCTCATATTATTTTAAGGAAATAATCTATAGTTCATACTTAGTAGTTGTAGGTATATTTATACCCCTTGTCATTAAGAAGTTCTAAAGCTTAGACAAATCCAGACGAAAGTATGTCCTAACAATTGTCATGTCCATGCCGCAAATATAAGATTTGTCTGGTCTATTTCTTTTAATGACGTATGACGAAATTGATAATCAGAAAAAAAGTTGCATTTAGAATTTGTAGGATTTTCTAATGAATAAAGTTGAAGAAAACAAACAAAAAGTGAATCAGTTGCTAACTAATAAACAAATGAAAAACCACATACACGGACGCAACTCCGCCCACCGCCAGTGCAACTTCGCCCACAGCCGACGCAACTCCGCCCACAGCCGACGTCGACGCAACTCCGCCCACAGCCTCCACAGCCAGCAGCTCCGGAGGAGACAGTAGCACCCAGCCCTGCTGAGTCTTCACCATCCCCCCAGACCTACCCCTTAGTGAGGACGAACGGTCAGTCCTCAGTAAAGGGCTCACCTTTGTCCCCCTCCACCCACACATCAACGAATACCGCTCACGCTTGGACATAGAGCAGTTTTACCACTGCCTCCGCCTCCACGCTTACTTCTTTAACCCTGAACCTAACCCTCCCTCTACTGACCCCTTCTCCCGCTTCCAACACACCCCCTCCTCCTGGACACCACCCCAAGGCCTCCTACCCTCCCTCGACCTCTTCATCTCCAACTGCCGTCGAGACATCAATCGCCTCAACCTCTCCACCCCTCTCACCCACTCCAACCTCTCCCCTGCAGAACGTGCAGCCCTCTGCTCCCTCCGCTCCAACCCTAACCTCACTATAAAACCCGCGGACAAGGGAGGCGCAGTTGTAGTATGGCGCACTGACCTCTATATCGCCGAGGCCAGACGCCAACTCTCCGACACCTCCTCCTACCGCCCCCTTGATCATGACCCCACCCCTGAGCACCAAACCATCATCTCCCAAACCATCCACAACCTCATCACCTCAGGTGACCTCCCACCCACAACCTCCAACCCCATCGTTCCCCAACCCCGCACCGCCCGCTTCTATCTCCTTCCCAAAATCCACAAACCTGAATGCCCCGGTCGACCCATTGTCTCCGCCTGCTCCTGCCCCACCGAATTGATCTCCAACTATCTAGACTCCATTTTCTCCCCCTTGGTCCAGGAGCTCCCTACCTATGTCCGTGACACCACCCACGCCCTCCACCTCCTCCAGAACTTCCAATTCCCCGGTCCCCAACACCTCATCTTTACCATGGACGTCCAGTCCCTCTACACCTGCATTCCCCATGCAGATGGCCTTAAGGCCCTCCGCTTCTTCCTGTCCCGCAGGCCCGACCAGTCCCCCTCCACTGATACCCTCATCCGCTTAGCCGAACTCGTCCTCACACTCAACAACTTCTCTTTCAATTCCTCCCACTTCCTACAGACAAAGGGGGTAGCCATGGGTACCCGCATGGGCCCAAGCTACGCCTGCCTCTTTGTAGGTTACGTGGAACAATCCCTCTTCCGTACCTACACCGGCCCTAAACCCCACCTCTTCCTCCGTTACATTGATGACTGTATCGGCGCCGCCTTGTGCTCCCACGAGGAGCTCGAACAGTTCATACACTTCATTAACACCTTCCACCCCAACCTTAAGTTTACCTGGACCATCTCTAACACCTCTCCCCTTCCTGGACCTCTCTGTCTCTATATCGGGCAACCACCTAGAAACCGATATTCATTTCAAGCCCACCGACTCCCGCAGCTACCTAGAATACTCCTCCTCCCACCCACCTTCCTGCAAAAATGCTATCCCCTATTCCCAATTGCTTCGCCTCCGCCGCATCTGCTCCCAGGATGAGGCATTCCACTCCCGTACATCTCAGTTGTCCTCGTTTTTCAAGGACTGTAACTTCCCCACCTCGGTGGTCGAGAACGCCCTGAGCCGTGTCTCCCACATCTCCCGCACCTCATCCCTCACACCCCGTCCACGCAATAAGAACCAAAAAAGAATCCCCCTCGTCCTCACGTACCACCCCACCAACCTCCGGATCCAACGCATCATCCTCCGACACTTCCGCCATCTGCAATCCGACCCCACCACCAAAGACATCTTTCCCTCCCCATCCTTATCTGCTTTCCGGAGGGACAACTCTCTCCGTGACTCCCTTGTCCGCTCCACACTCCCCTCCAGCTCCACCACACCCGGCACTTTTACCTGCAACCGCAGGAAGTGCTACACCTGCCCCCATACCTCCTCCCTCACCCCCATCCCAGGCCCCAAGAAGACTTTCCACATCAAGCAGATGTTCACCTGCACATCTGCCAATGTGGTATACTGCATCTGCTGTACCCGGTGTGGCTTCCTCTACATCGGGGAAACCAAGCGGAGGCTCGGGGACCACTTTGCAGAACACCTACGCTCGGTTCGCAATAAACAACTGCACCTCCCAGTCGCGAACCATTTCAACTCCCCCTCCCATTTCTCAAACGACATGTCCATCCTGGGCCTCCTGCAGTGCCACAACGATGCCACCCGAAGGTTGCAGGAACAGCAACTCCTATTCCGCTTGGGAACCCTGCAGCCCAATGGTATCAATGTGGATTTCACAAGTTTCAAAATCTCCCCTCCCCCTACCGCATCCCAAAACCAGTCCAGCTCATCCCTGCCTCCCTAACCTGTTCTTCCTCCCACCTATCCCCTCCTCCCACCTCAAGCCGCACCTCCATCTCCTACCGACCAACCTCATCCCGCCCCCTTGACCTGTCCGTCCTCCCTGGACTGACCTATCCCCTTCCTAACTCCCCACCTACACTCACCTTTACTGGATCCATCCCCGCCTCTTCGACCTGTTTGTTTCCTCTCCACCTATCCTCTCCTCTATCCATCTTCTATCCGCCTCCCACTGTCTCCCTATTTATTTCAGAACCCCCTTCCCCACCCCCTTTTCTGATGAAGGGTCTAGGCCCGAAACGTCAGCCTGTCTGCTCCTATGATGCTGCTTGGCCTGCTGTGTTCATCCAGCCCTGCACCTTGTTGTTACAGGATCACACCTTTTCTCTTTCACAAAAATTGTTTACTATCAAACATTTTAATAGGTCTTACCAATTCAGATGTTCATTCACAAAAGATTAAAATTTTAATAAGATTTTACCTACTTTCATTTCTATACAAGGCCTTTCTTGGTTGTACATTATCAGTGTTCCTTTGGAATTCTCAGGAGGTAAAATCTGAAAATGTTGCTGTGTCATAAATAAAATCAGACAAGAGCCAACTATAAAAAAATGCAAGGTAAAATAGAATTAGTCTTTGTCTAATAGCAAACTTTACATAAAATAATTATGCAAATATATGAGTTACTCATAAAAAACTAACTACTGCAAGAGGGCAATACATAGAATTAAATATCTTCCTAAAGAAGCATTTCTGTGTTTTTTTAATACTAAAAATTACTTAAACAGTATTTATTTTTTCAGTCATAATTATGGGTGTGTATTTTGAAGGTAGGCCATTGTCTGTGATGAGTCTGTGGCCTGCTGGTGTTGTTACTTGCCTTGTAATCTCGAGATACAAGTTAATACTCTGGGGAAGTGGGTTTAGAACCTGCCATGGCAGCTGTTAGAATGTAAATTCAAATAATAAATTCTGCAATTTAAAATTAGTCTGAGTGACGATGGTCATGAAATCATTGTTGATTCTTGTTGTAAGCACCCATCTAATTCATTACTTTCCTTTCGGGTTGGAAATCTGCAATCTTACCTGGTCTGGCCTACATGCAATTCCAGACTCACAACAATGTGAGTGTCTCTTAATTGCCATTTGAAGTACCTGTTAAGTTACTTAGTTGAAGCGAAATGAAGCAAACATGTCAGCAATACCTACATCTTGTTAAATAATAAAAAAAATGACCTTTGGTCCAACTCATCCATGCCAACCAGATATCCTAAATTAATTTAGTCCCATTTGCCAACATTTGGCCCATATGGCTCTAAACCCTTCCTATTCATATACCCATCCAGATGCCTTTTAAATGTTGTAATTGGACTAGCCTCCATCACTTTCTCTGACAGCTCATTTAATACATGCACCACCCTCTGTGTGATAAAGTTGCCTTTTAGGTCCCTTTTAAATCTTTCCCTTCTCACCTTAAACCGATCACCTCTAGCTTTGGACTCCCCCACCCCAGGGAAAAAACCTTGACTATTTACCTTATCCATGCCCCTCATGATTTTATAAACTTCCATAAGGTCACTCCTCAGCCTCCGTTGCTCCAGGGAAAACAGCCCCAATTTATTCATTATCTGCTGATACTTCTTCCTGAACTGTCTTACTTGGCTGTTTCGTCAGTGGTGGTTTGCTATTGCTTTCCACTCTCAAAGACAGGTTGAGGAGGGAGGTGTCAAGTCTACCTTAGCTGGAATGGGAATCAAGCCCATGTTGCTACACATCTCTCCAAATGAGCCAACCAACTTCCATTATTCTAACAACGTTGCTTAAAATACTGCAACTTCTAAGACAGATGTCAGGAAGCAATTGTTTGCAGTATCATTGATTACTGAAATAATTATCAGCAAATGTAATGCTGGTTTAGAAGGTGTCTCTAGAAGGATCACCCTTGTGAAATCCCAATGTGAACCTCGTCAAAATGCATGAGCGTAAATTTTGCAAATCCATTTTCTGGACATGGAGCCTTGGTCAATGAGAGTGTAGACCAAAGAATCAGTTTCAGAGATCAGCAAACTTTGCTAAAAATACCCAAAAAATTATAACCACAATATTTGAATGGATTTAAATTATATTAGAAAAAGTAAAGATTTTTCTTTTTCAGTCGAGTTTTAGAATAAATTGCTTAAAGTTACACGACTTTGTTTTTGTGTGGATAGTTGTATGTCGATGTGAGCTTATGCTTACTTACACAATATCAGCAATAATGCTCCAAAGAGAAGACCAATAGCAGATGCAGATAAGGCAGCTAGAGGTGGACTAGACGGAGGGCAGGTATTTCCATCTTGACAATTGCAAATCCATAGATGTAATGTGTTCTTTGTCACTACACCTTGTCTATCTCTAATTAGCAAGGGTATGGTATAGTTTCCAATAGGAATTTTCTTCATTCTTTCAAGTTTAATGGAATAACCTGCCAAAAAGTCACCAAACTGTATCAACGTATGTATAAGTTACGATAAATTCCTTGAATGTAACAAACTACTTATCATTACTAGTTGACAAAATCAATTTCTCACTAAGCTTCTGAAGTAAAAATTATGTACTGAACCATGTTAATAGATTTGGATTCACCACCTACCACTTTTTTGCTCTAATTTCCACTTTTCATTTATATTTTGTTCATTGTCTAGAAGTTCAAAGTGAAACGGGCCACCAAATGGAGCCATATCATCATCTTTTGCTGTCAGAGTGACGTGCTGAATACCTCCATCATCACACATTTCTTCATATGTAGAAATCAAATATGACCCACTGTCGTTAATATCAGTCAACACAATATTTAAAGAACCACTTCCTGTTTGAGGCGGTATCCCTAAAGAAAAGAAAAATATGTGAACAACAAATTGCTTTTGCAATAAGTGTGCAGCCAATAGTCGGTCACATTTTTGGCTCTTATTTTAACCAGTAAGAATATAGCACCATCAATTGAAATAACAGAAAACCATGAATGCTGGAGATGAAATATTGTGGCAGTATTCATCTAAATTTCCTCCTCATCCTTTTTAACGTTAGACACACTATCCTGAGAAATCTTTCCGTCTGGTCATGTTCAAATTCAGGGACAAATATACCAAGCAGGCATTTCTGACCAGAAGTATGCTAAGGAAATCAGTTTTCACATTTTTTTTATTCATGCTTAGGGCATGGGCACCATCGGCTAAACCAACATTTATTGTCTGTCCTTAGTGACTTGAGAGGACAGCAGTGAGCTGCCTTTTTGAACTACTACTGTCAACTTGGAGTAGGTTAACACTCAATGCCCTTAGGGATGGAGTTCCAGGATTTTATCCCAGCAATACTGAAGGAATGGGATATATTTCCAAGTCAAGATGGTGAGTGGCTTGGAGAGGAACTTGGAGGTGATGATTTTTTCACGCAACTGCTGCCATTGTCCTTCTAGACAAGTAACAGTCGTGAGTTTGGAAGGTGCTGTCTAAGGAGTCTTGGTGAAATTCTGTGTTGCATATTGCTGCTACTTTATGTTGGTGGTGAAGGGAGTGAATGTTTGTGGATGTAGTGCTAATCAGGCTAGCTGCTTTGCCTTGGATGATGTCAAGCTTTTGAGTGATTTTGAAGCTGTACTCATCCAGGCAAGTGGTCAGTATTCTATCACATTCCTGACTTATGCTTTGTAGATGGTGGACAGACTTTGGGAAGTCTGCAGCACATAGACTTCAGTGGTTCAAATAGACAGTTTACCACCACTTTTTTCAAAGGCATCAAGGGATAGGTATTAAATGCTGGCCCAGCCAGCATGCCCATGTCCCATGAATTAATTAAAAAGTGTCAGAAAATAAGTTACTCACTGCAAAGTTCCTACCTCCTGACCTGTTCTTGTAACCATAGCAATTTTATGGATTATGTTGTTCAGTTCTGGTGAATGGTGACGTCCAGAATGTTGATAGCAGGTGTTACAGTGATGTTTAATTCTCTGTTGTTAGATACAGTCACTGCTTAGCATGTATGAGGAACAGATGATACTTGCCACTTGTCATCTCAAACCTAGATAATGCCCAGGTCTTTCTGCATTTAAACACAGACTGCTTCGGTATTCAAGGAGTCACAAATGGTGCCGAACCTTCTGCAATCATCAATAAAATATCACAATTCTGACCTTATGACTGAGGGAAGGTCATTGATGAAGCATCCGAAGATTATTGAGCCAAGGCCATTACCCTGAGGAAATCCTGAAGAGATGTGTTGGAGCTGAGATGACAGATCTCCATCCACTACAACCATTTTCAATGCGCTAGGTATGACTCCAACCAGCAGAGAAGTTTCCCCCAATTCCTCTTGACTCCAGTTTTGTTCGGGCTTCTTAGTACCACACTCAGTCAAATGTAGTCTTGATTTCAATCTTACATGAATTGAATGAAATTGGTTGAAGAGTGGTACATATGATGTTGGAGACATGAGGTAGATGCCAAGATGGATTACTCACTTGGCACTTTTCACTGAATGTTGTTGCAAATGCTTTGGCCTTATCTTTAGCACTGATATTCTGGATTCCCCCATTGTTCCCTGGTGCTGTGAGGCAGCAATGCTAACCACTGAGCCACCCGAAATGGAGTAATGAATACAGAGTCATAGGCTTCACCTGACAAAGGAGCAGTGCTCAGAAAGCTTGTGATTTCAAAAAAACCTGTTGGACTATAACCTAGTGTCATGTGACTTCTGACCTTGCCCTTTCCAGTCCAACACCAGCACTTCCAAATCATAGAGTCATAGAGCCATACAGTATGGAAACAGACCTTTCGGTCCAACTCATCCATGCCAACCAGGTATCCTAAATTAATTTAGTCCCATTTGGTAGTATTTGGCCCATACCTTTCTAAAACCTTCCTATTCATATAACCATCCAGATGCCTTTTAAATGTTGTAATTTAACCAACCTCCACCACTTCCTTTGGTAGCTCATTCCATTCATGTACCACCCTCTGCATGAAAAAGTTTGGTCCCTTTAAATCTTTCTTTCCGTTCTTTCCTTTCCCACCTTAAACCTATGCCCTCTAATTTTGGACTCCCCTACCCTGGGGAAAAGACCTTGATTATTTAACTTATCCATGTCCCTCATAATTTTATAAACTTCTATAAGGTCACCCCTCAGCCTCCAACACTGCAGGGAAAATAGCCTCAGCCTATTCAGCCTCTCCCTATAGCACAAACACTCCAAACCTAGCAACATCCTTCTAAATCTTTTCTTAAGTTTCACAACATCCTTTCTATAGCAGGGAGATCAGAATTGAAGGCAGTATTTCAAAAGCAGCCTAATCAATGTCCTGTACAGTTGCAACATGACCTTCCACCTGCTATACTCAGTGCACTGACCAATGTAGGCAAGCATACTAAACGCCTTCCTCACTATCCTGTCAACCTGTGACTCCGCTTTCAAGGAACTACGAGCCTGCACTCCAAGGACTCTTTGTTCAGCAACACTCCCCAGGATTTTACCATTAAGTGCAATCAAACACACCAGCTCAGCGAGCAAGTCTGCAACCTCATCCATGACCCGAGCTACAAATCTTCTCAAAAACCTATATAGGTCCTACCCTGATTTGCCTTTTCAAAATGCAGCACCTTACATTTATCTAAATTAAACTCCATCTGCCACTCCTCAGCCCATTGGCCTATTTGGTCCAGATCCCATTGTACTCTGAGGTAACCTTCTTCACTGTCCACTACATCACCAATATTGGTGTCATCAGCAAATTTACTGACCATACCTTCTAGGTTCACATCCAAATCACTTATATAAATGACAAAAAGCAGTGGACCCTTCACTGGTCCTTGCAGTGAATATGAATTTTTTTTGTGTGTTTAAGTAGCCTAGGAAGTTAAATGTAGATATTGCCTTTTTTTAAAAAAATCAACAAAGGGTTTTTGTTTAATAATTAAATCATCAAAAGGCACCTAAAACTTTATTTTATTTCATCTCAACATGGGCCCTGAGGCCTGTCCATTGTGGATACTGTGTCAATGGCAAAGAATGTGTAAGGGCAAAGGGTGGCAGGTGTGGTGTATGGGTTAGCATGAGCTGACACAAAATTGGCATCATAAGGATGATGCAGGGTTGAATACAGTGGCTTAGATTAGCATGGAGGGTATGAGGGACCATGGGAAGAATCAGTGATCATGGAGAGTCAGTGTCTCATAAGGAGCCATGGCCTGGTATAAATGGGATACGCAGTGCATCAGAGCATAAGAGATTGTACAAGGTTAGAGCTAGAGGGCTGATTTTTGATTTGTATCTATGATGAAACGTCGCAGTTCTCAGAGGACCAGAGTTGTCTTTCTAAACAGTTGGCCCCTGCACTGGGGAGCCCTTGTGTGGACATTCAAATCCTTACAAGAGTTGACAGCCTGACTCCCACTAACATCTTACCCCTCAAAAAGAGTTTGACTAGCCAGGCCGCTCTCCCCAAGTCAGGTTTTCAGAGACAGGAATTTTCCAGTACTAAAAATTCTGCTTTGGTGTCAATTTCCCATTACAACATAATTGTTTTCCCTCTCTTTTATTACTTTCATACTTGGCAGTCTGTCCATTACAGGCCTTAAACTCTTTGCTTCTATGTCCATAGCTATAACGTAAATATCTACATATCCCATTTACCCTTTATTGGAGATTCAATATTCTGCAAAAAAAAAAGGAAATATTTTTTGGACCCCAACTTTAGGGCCAAATGTTATCCTGAACCCATACATGCTGTGAGCAAGACTGGCAGAACAATATTCCCAAAGGTAAATCCTTAATTATCCGCTTTGTTGTTAATATCCTATGATGGGTGAATTTATAATACTACAGGCCCAATCAGAGAGCTGGCAGCTCTAGATCCTTGGCAGCCTCACCAGGAGAACATGTAAAGATCTAATTTCAGAGGGATCAAGCTGCTAGTCTCCTCAGATCATTGGGAATTCCTTCTTGCAGAAGTGTTAGGACTCTAGATGTGGCCTTGCCTGACACTGGTTCCCAGCTGGGGACGTGGAGCCTCTGGCTTCATTGAATGCCCAGCTTGCTGCAGGAATGCTGCTTTCACAATGCTGGTAGCTTCCCAATGTGACAGAGGCCCACTCCACCACTACCAACCTGATAGAAATGATACATTACCTCAAATTCTGCTTGACGTACATAATTAGGCATCACAGTCACATACACCAAGCAACCAATACTTCTCAGGTGACAGGATTGTGTTGGAAAGCCAAACCATTAACGCTCACTTCTAATTTTCTTTTTCCCTCATCTGCAAGTTTGTCGGAATGGAGCTGGAAAAAACTCAGCCCAGTGTCACTGTTAAAGTTTCATCTTTCCAGTATTAGATGACACTACCCAATTTCCAAAAACTGAAGGACTTTTATATTCATGCTACAGCGTCACTAATATATAACTGTTAGACTGGAACTACCTAACAATCCCAACAAGAGTGATGATAGGACTGTTGTCAACTTTGGCTCAGTTGGTTGCAATACTATACCTCGTAAAAAAAACTGCAACTTGTATCCTCTTTATGCATTTCAAGGTGATCATTTATGCAATCCAAGTAGCTCAGCATTCAGGAAATCTTCCAAATGGTCCAGGCCCTCTCACTCTGTTGTCTCTTTTCAATTGAGTTTGCAATGAATTTGGTAGCTCCATCACTTTTTAATATACATAATGTGTACCTGCACATCAATGACTGATTGATTCAGCAAGTGTTCCTAGTCTTGACTTGGGGGGGATGTAGTGGAAAGTGAAGTGTAATAATGGCTACCTTCACTGCACTGGGCAGAGATTTTTCTGCAGTGAAATCTATCCATAGGTCAGAAAATGTATTTATCCTGTTGAAATATAGAGGTTTCTCCAGATGCACTCAGGAATTTATTCCTTGGTATGCAATCTCTGGACAAGAGTGAATGGAATGTCAGTGACAAGTTTCTCAGGTATAATCCCACTGCTTGTCTACTCCCACTGTAGAAATGTTATTTTCTACATCTAAAACTAGAATCCACAAATAAATTCCCATGATTCTCTATGCTGGCATAAAATGAGAAATATACATCTTGACTCCAAGTGTCAAACACAATAGAAAGGGAGAAAAAAGAATTGCCATTGCAAGAAGTCAAATCTGAACAGTAAAAATGCTATTATCTAATGGCAGATCTAACAACAAAGAAAATATCCCACTGTTATGGACTAAACCAAATCCCTCAAAATATTCATAAGATAGTCTGCACCCTAACTTTTTCTTATTTTAAGGGTAAATACAAAGTATTGCATTCCAGATGCAATTTGATTGGTCAAACTATCAGATTTAAAGCCAAGCGCATTTATTCATCCACAATACTTAAAATAATAAAAAAAGAAGGATTTGGAATAATTTAACTCTATTGGAAAACCTAACAGAATAATAGATACTGTAAATATTACTAATTAACTTCTCCAAAATAGTAACATTCCATAAACACATGCTTGGCAAAGGGCAAATTCAGAAAACAGATTGTCTCACATGCAACTCCTACAACAGGCAAAGAACACCCCAGCTTTGGCTGTAACTGAGAGAGGGAAAAGATAGCTTTCACTTCTTCCAGAGCCCAACAGCAACTGCTGAAAGCTAAATTAAAAACTCTGGTTCTGTGGAAGCTCAACAACACCCATTTAGGCTGCTTCTATTGTAGCAACTTAAAACAAAACCCCAAGGCCTCACAAGCTGTTTACATTCTTACAGGCTGCTCATAACCTTTCGTTCAATCTCTCTTTTTAAAAAAAGGACAGGACAAAATAACCTCTTAAAGCCACAGCATTGTCACACCACATTTCAGCCTACAGTTAATAAACTCCAAACTTCAAGGTGAAATTCCTGAAGCAGAAATGGGGAAGCTAAAAGTGTATTGATCTGAGAAGAAATATGAATTTTAGCTGAGATAAAATTGCATGAACTTACTTCAAATCAGGCAAGGCCTCATAAAAATTAACAATAGCCAATTCATAAAATTTACCTGTTGAAATTGCCAACCATTCTGCAGTAACTGAGATCCCAGAGAGCAACAAAATATAATGTGAAATAATGTCACACTGGCAGAGTTAGAACTACTCTTAAGGATAACTTATGTTGGTGAGATAATAAAACTATGAGAATAGAAAAATGACCTGATCCTTATTGCTGATATCTCACTCAACGATGACCATGACACACCCAATCAAGTGAACTAATAGAATTGAAAGATGCAAAACAGTTTTAAATATTGTTGCAGGATCATTTGGTAATTACAGACTTACCGTCATCAATGGCATGAACAATAACTTTATAAATGCTTTCTTTCACATAAGGAGATTCACGATCTAATTCATGGACTGTTGTCACAACACCTGTTTCCTCGTTTACTGTAACAAAACCTTCTGGATCATATGCCTTGACAAACCTGTTAGACAAAAGTTGTTAACAAAATAAGTTCTTCAATGCTGCAACCTTAAAATGCAATGATCATCAGACATGATTTCCATGACTATAAAGAAGAATGAAATATTCTTTCTCCTGCAGTGAAATCTTATGTTATTCCTAATAAATTTACTGTGCAATTATTCATGGAAAATTGGAAGATGTAATAACAGTTTTGGGAAGCTATCTGAAAGACCATGAACTGAAGGACCAGCACATTTGTTTTGATTACTTTTTCAGAATTTTCAGCCAATTGAGTTAAGTGGTAAAGGGCAATCTGTGTTCCAAGTGTTTCAAAATTGCAGGCAATCATGGAATGTGAATAGAATTAAATTTCTGACTGGTTGCTGAGGCGTTTTCAGCAATTAAGAGATTTTGTCTACCATTAGACAATCACAGTATTTTGTCCCAAGGACATTTGGCACGCTATATAGATTTGCACTAATTTCATACATATTAGAATTTCAGAATTCAAATACAGTACCTAAATAGAAATATTTTCACATAAAATCTCCACGCATTTGCAGTACAGAAACAGGCTACTTGACCCAATATATCCATGTCTATGATGTATATAAATCTCCCCCCCCATTCTTCTCCATATAATCCCATCAATGCATCCTTGCTATTTATATTATGTACATGTGTTTATCTACCTTCTGCTTGGAATAATCTTTACTATTCATCACAACTATTCCAGTGGTAATGGGTTCAACAGTCTATCTACTCCGTGTAAAGAAGTTTCTCCTGAATGTTTAAGTGGATTTTTCAGTCACTGTGTCATGTTTAAGGTCTTTAGTTCTGGTTCTGCTTTCAAGTGGATGCTTCAAGGTGAATTAATCTCTAGATGTCAGAAACTCAACATCAGAGCCATTGTAGTTTCTGAACTTTCTGACACACAAAGGCAAGTGCCATGGCTCTTGAAAGCCCACAGGGAATGTAGAACTAACAAACCAACTATAATGCTCACACACTTGGTGTTCTGTGCAAGTTTAACACGAGTTCTTGACTTTTGAATTCTATCCCTCCTAATATGGATCCCAGTGCTTTGTTTATTGTTTTAGTGGCCTATTTAAAATATCGCTGCTTTTAGTGATTAATAGATGTGCATCCCCAGGTCAAACTTAATTAGACACTTCCAAGAAGTTTTTGGTCTCCTTATTCTTCTTACCAAACTGTGCCTCCACACATTCAGTAATATTGAAATTCATTTAGTAATTATGTGCCCATTTTGCAAGTTTGCATTTATTGTATTTTAATTTTTTTTTTCTGCAATCCTCCTTTGCATCAACTACACCACCCAGCGTGGGTGAAATTGAATTTTAAAGCAAATAAAATAAAATAGTAAGTTGAGGAACTAGTGAACAGACCCACGGTAATTACAGTTCAAAGGGTAACCTGCACATATTCTTTCGGGTTAGAGTCAGAAATGTGAAAACTCAGAGTGGATGTTCCATCATTAAGCTTTGGTAGGGACGGCAGTTTAAAATTATTTAAATAAGGAACGTGGATTATTCCAGAAAGCTAATAAACTAAAAGCACATTTGTAAACAAAGGAGTATCTTGGCAAAACGAGGCAGAGTGGAAAGAGTGCAGTTCATTCCATCAGAAATATGAATTTTTAATATGGGTCTCAGAATGGAAGTTGTTTTTAAATGGTAAAATATAATTGATTTACATTTCTGTTTGGGATTATACCAAGTGTGCCAAATACCTATGGTAATAGGGTGTACAGGGGAGGTGCCTCATGTTGCTTTTCTTTCTGAGAGTAAGCAAACAGCTTGAGGAAGGTGGGGACAGAGATTTGCTGAAAGATGTAAAGTAGCTGTTGAACCATTGGCTGCAAAACAGCCCCTGCACAGACTTGGAGAATACAGTCTGTATTTGGTCCAACACCAAGACGAGGAGTGTCAATGCCATTAGGAAGCAGAGGCATTCCTAATTTGTGAATCACTGAACAAAATTGTTGTGAGGTTCAGGATAGAGATAGGAAGTCCAAATTCATATGGTTTTGAAGGAAAGTTGGAAGGTCATTAACGCACATTAATAGGAAGTTCCCAGGAAATTTCACATCTTAAATAATGATTGGAATATTAAAAAGAATTCAAAATGAATTCTAGAGAGCTGTGGCATGCTTTGTTTCATCCCAAAAGATCTCATATTTCAAAACCTTGACAAATGACAATTTCAAGTTACTAGTACATGATATTTTAAATACATGAAAATATGTTTTTAATTAAAAATATGCAATATTGGAAGTAATTTCTTTCAGTTAATCATTGGGTGTTTGAATTTCTCTTTTAATATTAAAAGTCATCATAATTAAATTTCTTCCTTCATTTCTTTTCCACTATTATGTAGTTGTTGTATAAATTGTATCCACCTATTAGTGTGATTGTTCATGGTGTCTCATATTAGAATACATAGGGAATCTGTTTCTACCCTTCTATTATTATGTCCTACCTTCCTACCACCATTATGCCATCTCTAAATAGCTCAGTTGTCCCAAACCCCTTTCAATACACTTCCATCCACATTTCTCCCTTTCAATTTCTTTCCACCCAATGATAGAACCTGCAATATTTAGTTACCAGTCCTTTCTTAATATAGACATGTCTTGACTATTCTTAAAAATTAGAAATAGATTTGCACGTCAAATTATTGACACAATTCCTTTATTTTATTCTGAACGTTGTGGACATTTTAAATGCAGTTTAGTTTTTCTTCAGTAGTTGTTTGGTGTCCTTTATACTTAAGTAATTTTTAATACTTACATTTTCAAACACTATTTGTTCCCTGGCTATTTATATTACCCTTATTCCTTATCTTGATCATAAAATTATACAGTACAGAAGAGGCCCTTCAGCCCATTGAGTCTCCACTGACACAAGAGAAACACCAGACCTTCAACATAACCCAATTTACAAGCGCTTGGTCATATCCTTGAATGTTATGACATGCCAAGTGCTCACTCAGGTACTTTTTAAAGGAAGTGAAGCAATTTGTGTCTACCACCTTCCCAAGCAGCTCATTCCAGACCAGTTGAGTTTTTCCTCACATACCCTGAACCTTCTATCCCTCACCTTGAACCTGTGTCCTCTTGTGATTGACTAAGGGGAACAGCTGCTCCTTATCCTCTCTCCATGTTCCTTATAATCTTGTACACCTCAAATCAGATCACCCCTCAGTCTTCTCTGTGCCAATGAAAGTAACCCAAGCCATCTAACTTATCCTTATAACTTAAATTTTCCATTCCAGGCAGCACCTTGGTGAATCACCTCTGCACTCTCTCCAGTGCAATCACATCCTTCCTGTAACGTGGCAACCGGAACTGCACACAGGTCTCTATCTGTTGTGTCAGCAAAGTGCTATACAACTTCAACATGACTTCAGACATAGTAAGAACTGCTGATGCTGGAGTCAGAGATAACACAGTGTGGAGCTGGAGGAACACAGCAGACCCTTCCCAACCCAAAACGTCAACTTTCCTACTCCTCTGATGCTGCCTGGCCTGCTGTGTTCCTCCAGTTCCACACTGTGATATTTCCAACATGACTTCCCTGCTTTTGTAATCTCTGCCTCAATTGATAAAGCAAATGTCCCATATGCCTTTTTCACCATCCTACTAACATTGCCCTTCCATCTTCAGAGATCTGTGGACAAACAATCCAAAGTCACTTTGTTCGAAAGAACTGCCTATGACTTGCTATTCATTGAAAACTTCCGTGTCAAATCATTCCTTCCAAAGTATATCACCTCAAACTTTTCAGGGTAAAATTCCATCTGCCACTTATCTGCCCATTTGACCATCCCATTTATATGATCTTGTAGTCCACAAACTACTAATCCAATCCCCACACAGTCATCTATGTCATTATATAAATAACAATAAATAGGGAACCCACACTGATCCCTGTGGTATGCCACTGGGTACTGACTTCCAGTGAGTAAAGCAGTCTTCTGGCATCACCCTCTGTCTCCTATACCTGAGTCAATTTTGAATCCACTTTATTAAATTACCCAGTATCCCATGTGCATTGCACCCTTGATAGGTCTCTTATGTGGGACCTTATCAAGGGCTTTGCTGAAATCCATATTATCGACAGCAACTTCATGACCTTCATCTACACACCTGTTCACCACCTAAAAAAAAATCAGTCAAATTCAATCAAATTTGATGAAGCCACGCTATCTCTGATAAATCCTTGCCTCTGCAAGTAAAAACAGACGATCTCTTTCAGAATTTTCTCTAATAGTTTCGTACCACTGATGTGAGACTCACTGGTCTGGAGTTCTCTGGCTTATCTCTACAACCCTTCTTAAATATCAGAAACACATTAGCTGTTCTCCAGTCGTCTAGCACTTCCCTTGTGGTCAGAGAAGAATTAAAATTTTGGGTCATTTCCCCTGCAATCTCCTCTCTTGCCTCTTAAAGCAGCCTAGGATACGATTCATCCAAAACTGGAGATTTGTCTGCTTTTAAGCTTGCAGCACTTGCAATACCTTGTCCGTCCCAGTGTCAATTTGATCAACCACCTTGCAGTCTTTCCTTTTGGGTTCTATACATTCATCCTCATTCTCTTGGGTAAAGATGGATGTGAGGCATATTGATCTGATTACTCATCACCAACTCATACTATCTTCAACCTTGGGCTACTTTCTCCAGATCTCTCCTGTGTCTTATTAGTTTAAAATGTTATCTGAAATGTTAGCTAACTAGACACTAATTACATAGTACCCAAGTTCCACACATCGATAGTTAATGGTACGCAACCCACACATCCCCAGACAAAAGGCTCTAGCTTGGGCACGGCAATCATGATTGTGGTGCCAGTGGAGGCCTGTAACCAAGACCCCAGAGCCCATTACAGAAACCCATGAGCCCATTTCAGAGACCCCAGCTGATGTCAAGCAGCAAATGGAGAAAAAGCAAAGGAGGAATAAGGAGGAGAGAGAAAATGAACTCAATTACAGTAAAACCTTACATTATATTCAGTATTTCAAGATGGTGTTGGAGCATGGCTATACTGTGTATAACATATGAAAAAAATTTTCACTGTATTTTTATATACATGGACAATAAATTTAAATGTAAATCAAAAAAAATCTAAAGCATAGCCATTCAGTTTAGAATAATAGTGTTAGCTACAACTTATTCTACCCAAGAGGAGAGAACTCTGTTTATTCATCAATAAATATTGGCTGTGTTATAAAATAAAAATTGATCTTATAGATTTTTAAATCCTAGCTCCAATCTGGAAACAGGTTATTCTCTATGGAAATGCTCTATGAAATTTAGATGATTACTTTCTGTACTTGTTCACTCTTCCTTCTCGTATATTTTTTGTTCATTTACAGGGCGAGGGCATCGCTAGCCAGGCAGCATTTATTGCCCATCCCCAGAGGGCAGTTAAGAGTTAACCACATTGCTGTGGTTCTGGAGTCACTTGTAGGCCAGACCAGGTAAGGATGGCAATTTCCTTCCCTAAAGGACATCAGTGAACCAGATGGGTTTTTCCAACAATCGACAATGGATTCACAGTCGTCATCGGATTCTCAATTCTAGATATTTATTGAATTCAAATTCCACTATCTGTCATATGCTTCTTGTTATAATCATTAATACAAATTTTAAACCGAAAATGCCAGTGAAACTATACACTGATTTTTTAAAAATATAAATTACATACTAACGTGAATTGGTAGCATAGAACAGAAGTATTGTTGACAAGAGAAGTTATGTGGATCTTGCAGCTGCTCCTGGGATCGCGGGCTTAGTTAAAGATTTATTATAGTGTTATTACAGTTATTATATTTCACCAACATAAGATTTTTATTCATTTTGTTTTCATTTGGATAAGTACATGAATAGGAAACGTTTGGAGGGACATGGGCCAGGAACAGGCAGATGGGACTAATTTAGTTTGGAATAAAGTTCGGCATGGACTGGTTGGATGGAAGGGTCTATTTCCATGCCATATGACTCTACAACTCTATGTCAAAGCTTTTTGTATTACACTCTTCAGGACAATTCACAAAAATATCAAATATAGGAGAAAATAAACATTAATACTGCATAAAAGGGGTATGTTGAATGGTTGCCCATTGAACTCTGCTTGGTAAAGGTGTCGCCATAGAGAATTCACCAATTAATGATGATTGTTTTACTAAAGCAATGTAAGAGAGTAATTTTTTGTGATCTACTTTGATGTGTAGAAGAAATCGTGGGCCCTGTAGAGTTAGGGCAAAGTTTGACTACCTGTATAATCAGGCTTCCATAGAATATTTTCAGCAGTATGAATACAGCAGGTAGCTCACAGATTTGGAGGTAGTTTGGGGCAAATGCAAGTGTTGCATTTTTGTTTCTGCATTGTTATGAAACCTCTATTTACATTTATAATTTTAAGACAGACGTAGAAAGATTCTTGATACCAAGGGGATCAAAAATTACTTACATAATCAAATGAATTATGATACCGTGAATTTTGAAATCATGAATTACATAATCAAAGCTTTGTTAGCATTCTGTCAATACAATTTCATCTCTCCTCCCTTATCGATGTAGGGTACATTAAAAGACACAATGCTGAGCTGATCATATCTACCACTAAAACATTAAGTACATGTTACCATGACCAGCATGGTAGCATGGGAAAACTATACAAGCAAAGAAACTTAGGATCTGATTTTACTCTCCTGAGCAAGACTAAGCAAATTTAAGTTGTAAGTGGAGTCAGACAGTTTGTCAAGCCAAAGCAACACAAGCTTCTCCAAATTCACCAACAAGGAATGGTAAATGAAGTATTGGTGCAGAATCTTAGAGGCTTACAGTAATACAAAGGTGAATAAAGTTTGGGGAGAGGGGATATTCTGCTGCTGTAGAAAGATGTCTTATGGCAACTTGCCTCAAGATCATTCAGGGTCTGGACAGAATGGATAGGAAAACCATTCCCATTGACAGGCAGGAGAATTCAGAATCGGAGGGCACTGAATTCAAATGATTGCCAAAAAGAAGCAATGGCAAAATGAAGAAAATTGTTTATACAGAGCATTAGGATGTGGAATGCACTGCCTTAGCATATGATGAATGTAGATCTAGTCATTCATTATAACAGAAAATTGGATTAAAATCATTTATAGGGATAGATTGAAAAGTGGACGAGTGGGATTTGGTGCGTTGTTCTTGCAGAAAGGCAGAACAGATACATTTTTTCTATGATTCTATGGATTCCATGAGTTTTTGAACTTTGAAAATATTGAGTTGCCTGTCAGAGCTTTCAAAATACATTGAATGGTATGGTGGAGATTACAACATACTTGTGCAGGAATTTCTTGCAAGTCCTGGACTCTACTTGAACATGCAGAAGAACAAATAGATAGGAGCTATATTTGGTCTGGTGTGCTCAGAAAGTCTACTTTGCTGAAGATCAGTGAAATATTGAACTGTAGCAGACAATCAAAAGCAGTTGTGTAATGTAAATGGGAAAATATGTCAGCTGTCACGGTGGAAGATCTCTGTACCTCAGAGATCTCCTCAGAATGGTTAAAGATTATGGGCCTCAGGAAGTGAAGGCCTAGGGTGTGCATAAATTCAAAATAGCTAATCTAAGTCATGCAGAACCACAATTTGAACAATTTTTTTTGTGTTAAAAATATTCCTGACCTCTGCCTCTATCGTGACCACATGTATCATTCCCTATTTTGTGGTAGGATATAGACATTTGGCCAGAGATATGCACATATTTCTTGCCCCATCATATTGCAGTCTGGTGAAGTAATTTAGCACTCAAAATGCAAATGTTGTGCAGCCAACTACAAATGTACAAATTAGCAATGGGAGAACATCCTACTCCACCATTCAATAAGATCGTAGTTTATCTGATTACTCCACATTCCTACATACCCCATTAACCTTTAACCACCTTGCTTATCAAGAATCTATCTTACTTCAAAAATATTCAAAAATTTTGTTTCCATTGTCTTTTGAAGAACTGAGTTCCAAAGATAGAAAAAATAATTCTCTTTATCTCTGTCTTCATTGGATAATGCCCCTACTTTTAAACAGAGACCCCTAGTTCTTGATTTTCCCACAAGAAGAAATATCTTTTCCATATTCACCCAGTCAAAACATCGCATTGCCTCTTACTCTTCTAAACTCCAGCAATACATATCTACTCTATCCAACATTTCTTCATAAGACAATCTGACATTATAGGTATTAGCCTAGTAAACCTTCTCTGCACAGCTTCCAATTTACTTACATCCTTCCTTAAATAGGGGACCAATGCCGTACACTGTGCTCCATGAGTGGTCTCACCAGTGTCTTGTATTACTGAAGCAAACTGTCCCTATATTTCTATGGGAATACTTTTTTTTTGTGTATGATTACCAATAGGAAATATTACAGCAGTATGTATTTTGTTCACTGATCTGTGGTACATTAATTTATGTTTAAAAATATGCAGTCCAGGAACTTGGATTCTGTATATTTCTGATTCAGAGTAGAAAAATTTGTAGCTGTGGTAGTTTTAACAAGGAAAGAATGAAATAAGACAGAGATAAAATACTTAAAAGGTAATGAGGCAAAATATTTATTTCTCAAACATTAACTTGGCCATATTGTGTGGCATAGATTTAGTCCCTTCTTACCTGATTTTATTTAAGTTGTATTTATCAGGATCAGTAGCATTAAATTTCACCAATATGACATTTGCCTTTTGACCTTCTAAAAGATGAACAGTTACTTCTGAAGGGTCAATCACAGGTGCATCATTTGTATCACGAACATTGATAACAACATATGCACTGTCCAGTGCCTCAGCTTTCTGTTCGTCAGTCATTTCTTTACAAGTAGAAAATGGTTCTTCATTTTCAACAAGGATTTTCAGCTGTCTCTTTGAACCCCCTTCATAATTCAAATGCTGTAAATATAAGATAACAAATTCCCTAAACAATATCTGTTCAAGTAAATCAAAGACATCCGCACACTGAGGATTTTGAATGTGGCAACTAATGTGAATATTAGGCGTTACATGATTGCTCAGATTTCTTGCTGTGGCAGCAGTGTACATGTTCAGCCAACCAGTTAAATTGAAATGTTGGGTGATAGTCTTGTTCTTCCTACGGCAAATATTATTTCAAATTGTAGAGCACCAGGTTTCATACTGAATCTAGCATAATTAACCATTTCAAATGAAGTTTATAATCATAGAACCATAGACTAGTTAAAGCATAGAAGGCTTTTATAGTCTCGGTCTCTAAATTTACCAGCTAGCTTAAGTGCAGTTTCTTCTAATTTTGAAACCTCAAGTAGAGGCATGAAGAAACCGAGTACATACATAATGCATAAACCTTTCAACAGGCAGTCAGTTCAATTAATTTCAATTGCATAAGACTTTACCTTATTTACTTGCTCACAGGATATAGGGATCACTGTTTAGGCCAGAATTTATTGCCCATTGTGGGCATTTAAGAGGCAATAAATACCTAGCCAGTGGAGCCCTCACCCTGTGAATGAATTAAAACAAAAACTAAGCACTCTCACATCTTAGCCAGAAGGCTGTAGATTCAAGCGCATAGCTCATGTGGATACTCCAGTGCATTAACAAGAGAGAGCTACATTTCTAGTGGTCCCATTTTTCTGATGAGATTATAAATTGACTTCCAACTGGTAAACATAAAAATTTCCCTGATATAACTTTCAAGAGGTACGGGGGAAATTCTGGCCAAAATTTATGACTCAATCAACATCTAAATCCAGATGATCTGGTCACTTTCAGATTTATGTTTGCAGAGCCTTGTTATGTGAACTCTGGCTGCCAATTTTTTTTACAATATAATAACTGATTATATCTTAAAAATAATTAATTGGCTATGAAGTGTGTTAGGGCATCTATATTCTGGAGGAAAGAGGAATCCAAAATAACTTTTGATGTTATTAAATTTGAAGATGCGTGCCTGAAATTTCTGGAGAAATTGGTGGCCAAGGCTAAAATTGGTCCCACCCTCAATCATGTCACCTACAATTTTCATGGAGGGGCAAGTCAAAATTTGCACAAGTGAGTTTCATAAAGGCACTCACCCATTGAAATTAGCAGCTGCCTCAATTTTTGGTATCTGAAATTTAGTCACTAGGAAGTAAAGATCTGAACTTAGTGCATTTGTTTGGATCGCCAAGGTACTATTTTGGAGAGGTCAGGTACCCCTTTGGACATTGTCCCAGAACAGCTTTGGGGAAGGTCAGTGCCCTTTAAAATTGCTAAAAGTTGGCATAACGGTGTAAAAAGTGCAAAAATTCATGGAACTGTGAAGCTCATTAGATTTGTCGAAAGAACTGACAAAAATATCAAGAGGAGCTGTCAAGACTTTAAAAAACCTGCCCTTTAAATCTTTGAAATAAATGTCAAGAGGTTTCTAAAAAACACTGTTTGATGTTTCACTGTGTGTTGAGAATCAGCTTGAGAGGTATCATGATCTGATTAGTGTTCCATAACTGATTTAACAGACATTCTTTATCTCAGTAGGGTTTGATTGACAGCAACATGTAGTTTAAGACTTTTTAAAAAGGGCTGTGAATGTTAATACTTGGTGTTATTAGGGTGTATGCACCTGACATATTTTTATTGTTGTAGGGCATTATGTAGTTGAGGGAAAGTAAACAGTAAAAATATGTTAAATGTGTTTTATGAAGGAGTTTTTTTCAATATAGTGAAGTCTGCAATAGTCACTGATAACTTATTTCATCTCTTCATGTGTCCTGAGGTCTATCCATGGTGGATACTGAATAACTTGGGAAATGTAAGGGCACAAAGTTATGGGTGGCAACATTCCCTCTAAGCTATAAGGTTGCTCTGAGGGTCCACACATGCTAATCAGCGAGCCAGCACCTTGGTTTTGGATGTCACTGCTGCAGACAGATCTCAGAATTATAATCCAGAGAATTCCTACAGTGTGGAAACAGGCCATTCAGCCCAACAAAGTCCACACCAACCCTCTGAAGAGCATCCCACCCAGACCCATCCCCCTACCCCTGTAACCATGCATTTCACATGGTTAACGCACCTAACCTATTTATTTAGCATGGCCAATCCACCTAACCTGCACATCTTTGGACTGTGGGAGGAAACCGGAGCACCCAACGGAAACCCACGCAGAGACAGGGAGAATGTGCAAACTCCACACAGTCAGTCGCCTGAGGCTGGAATTGAACGTGGGTCCCTGGCCCTGGGAGGCAGCAGTGCTAACCACTGAGCCACCATGCCACCTACAATTCTACACAGAAGAAAAATATTAGAGAGAACATAGATTTCTGGTGGGCATTAGTTGGCACTAAGTTAGCATAGGTCTCTGAATGGCCATGGAGGTTGAGTAGATGACCATATATTGGCATCAGGATTAAATGTGGGGTGAGTACAGGAGCATAGGTTGGCATTGAAGGCATGAGGGGTTGTGATAGATGGGGACAAAGTGGTGTATGCATTTTTGGCGGGGGGGCGTATGGAGAATGTAAAGAATGTCAGGGATGAATGTTGGAGTGTTTTTCTTTGTCTTACTCTTTTTTTTAAGAAATTCAATAAGTATCCATGCACATAGACAAGCTTTCAGCCTGCCCCTGCACTCAGCATCTTCCATTCTTATTTCAGCATTGTTCAGCCAGATTCCTAGGGAATCCCACCACTCCAGAGCAAAAATCCAACTCCCCTGACTCAAGTTTGCATAGTCAGCAAACATCCATAGTCTGTGCTCCTGTTCAGAGCTTAAGATCCAACTGGGAATTCTAAAGCAACATGGTGAGCCCAGGTTCATTTTTTGCCCAGCCTTAACTGTTCCTAATCCAGGAAGGCATGGATAAAAGTCATTGGCAAATATCATCACTGTTAAGTAAAGTAAATTGTTTACCTTAACAAGAGACAGAATTCCATCATTTGTTTCGGGATCAGTTTCTATTTTGTAGTTCCCATGTTCATTCCCTTCTACTATTTTATATCTTGCTCTCCAGGCTGGTGTATTGGGAACATCCTTGTCAGTGACGCTTACTCTAAGTATATCGACTTGTTCATCATTTTCATCTACTTCACCTGAAAACTGAAGATTGCAATAAACATTTGTTAAATGTTTGTACGTCTGACTTATGCATCCAATTTTTGTCTTCAGGCATGAATCTGTTCTAAACAGTTTTGATATTCAAATAGGAATATCAACTGCAACTCTCAAAAAAATTAATACTCAATTTTCAAGCAGAAGACTATTTGCATAATTCCAGGTGTAAACTCAGAAGTATCTGGTGATATTTTTTGATGTATCTGGTGATAAGCAGTGGCAGAGTAAGACTAATATTTGAGTGAAATTTAAGCAGACAACAATTGTGTGTTCTAATGAGCTCAAAAATTCAGGGAACTTTGGAAGTGTTAAAAGCCATCACCACATTGTGCCTTTCTGCTGATGTAGAGAAAACAAACCCCCAAATCTTTGGCTTGTAGATGTAGAAGTGAATATAGTTGGAAATATTTTGATTAGGATAGCAAAATAGGCAACATGGGCACAAGTTCATCTCATGAGTTCTTTCTGACAGTATGATGTATTTACAATGTTTCTAAAGGATTCTCCAACATAACAGCTACTAGACAATAACAATTCCGAGTAATGCCAACAGAGAGTCTGTTAGCATTCTTATTGTTCTATAATAAAATTACATGATTCAAATATTATTTATTTTAATGTTAATGTGAACTCACATGTATGTGTCCTGAGCACTTAAACTAAGGACACTACTAAGTAAAAGGCACTGGATATGACTGGCATGGTTTTACCTCCAGCAGGGTATTTTACCATTACAGAAATGCCTGTTAGCCTCATAAATAACAAACTAGGATTGGATGCCATGATTTTGAAGCATCCATAAACATTTATTCCAGCTAGCCATACACAAACATAACATTTCTCAAACTCCCGTGCATCTGGATTGATATTCACTTACTGGCCACAAGAGAGGAGCATGTTTCTCATTGTGAGTCATGCTTCATTTAATCCTAGCTTCTTACTGACTGTGAGCCACAAAATCCTCTTTTTATCAAAGTTAAAAAAAATCTCACAGTTGTGCCTAGGTACATGCTGTCAATTCAATAATTACTAAAAAAAAATCAAGTTAAACAGTTTACAAACCTAACATAACAAGTTTCAATATAATGCCATGAAAGTTTGATAACTTGTCCTAATTGGATGATTACGTACCTGTCAGGAGAGGTGCACATATTTCTCTGATGCATTTGTCGCCAATTTGGTTGTCTTGTTACTGTTGCTGTCACTCAATGTCACCATATGATCAGCATTGTCAGAGTTTTCCTCATTTTCTTTTTGCATGATTGATATGTCACACATTGGTCTTATCTGGCTTTCTTCCTTTGCAATGTAGCATCGTGATCAGCAATGATTTAATATGATTTGGGTTGGTTGCACATTGTAGTAACCTTTGCTGGTATCTATTACTTGCAATTAAGTTTTGAACTCTCTGCCCATTTTGCAGTTTTTGTGGTTCTTTACCTGCTCACTTGCAATATATATTTTTAATTCTCCTCTGTCTTTGAAAGTGAATGTTCTGTAACTTGGAATGGGTAGTGTTATGGACCTGACCAACCCCCCTCAAAAGGTAGCTTAGTCGCTAGTGTTTTCTTATTTTAAAGAGAAGTGTAAAGTGTTGCATTCCAGATGAGATTCAATTGGTCAAAACTGCTCGACTTTAAGCAAAACACATTTTATTTTTACACTACAAATAACATACAATCAAAATAAAAATAAAAGAATTGGCTCAACTGTAGCATTGTTAAAATGCTTAACAAACCAAATTTAGTAAAACAGATGGTCTCTCATGCATTTCTAGCAACAGAGAACCCCGGCTTTTAGCTGTAACAGAGAGAGGAATAAGACCTTCCACAGCCAGCTTCAAGATGCCAACAGCAGCAGAAAGCTAAAACTAAAAGTTCTGATTCTATGGGAGCTTGATCCCACCCATTCATGTTGCTTCTATAGTTTGAATTTAAAAATAAAATGAGGCCTCACAAGCAGTTTACTTTATTGGCTTCGAGCAGACTGCAAATCACCTCTGTCTCAAGCTCTCTTCATTAAAAAAAAGGACAAAATACATCTCTTCAAGCTACAGTATCAGCACAGTAGACAATTAGCTACCAGGCAAAAATGTTCACAGCGGCCTTCCAAGAATAAATTGTGCTGGGGATAGAAATCTCTTCTCCATTAAAATTTCACAAAAATGTAATGATACAGTGTGAAAATCTTGTTTTGTTCCTTGACATTTAAAGAGCAAACTATACATTCTGTTAAATCGTTTTAACAAGGATTGTGGGGTGACGATTTAATATTGGTCACTTCTCCCTTAACACATTTTTTTAAACCGTTTGCCAATGAACTGTGATCCATTGTCAGAAACTGTCTAATCTGGATTCTGAATAAACAATGGTTGTATTCATTGTATTGCTAAATCATCAAACAATGTAAAATTTGGAGAAGGAATTTGTCACAAGGATGTAATTTTCTCCATGTACTATGAATAGGTCAGTTGCTACTCTCATCCAAGGAGAATACCATTTGAATGTAGAGGCTTCCTTTGCTTCTGGGTTTAGTACATTTGGCATGTCTCATATACAATCATGAATTGCTGAAAATCTTGATTCACCCCTGGCCAGTCCACAGATTCATGTGCCAGTAGACTAATGTCTTCAATATTCATGTATCCCTAGTGTACATGATTTCCTAGTATTAGGACTTCTTTGCCCTTGTAATTGACTTCTTGTGATACACAATCTTTATCTATGTCTGCCCAAAATGAACAACTCTTCCCTGTAATTCTTTAATACTGTTAATCATCCCCAGATAGTGATCTTTTGCAAATCTTACAGTTGCTCATCTTTGACAGTTCCTGATTAAAACTGTCAAATGGGCTTTGGCCAAAGTGTAGCAGATCAACTTTGAGAATGTACTTAAGCTCATAATGAATGGCATCAACACGTAGATCAAAAGGAATATATGGTTTTTGAGAGTGTGGGTCTTATCATCGCACATCATTAACTAATTCAACTGCAACATGTGGTCTGTTTCATCACAGGAGATGTGGTTTAAAGTTCATGATTTATGACCATACCGAAATCTGTGCATACTAAAAGTCCTGTAAAGTGGCATATGAGATCTTTATACCGTCAGGTCACAGATTATGGTATAGTGATGATATCATGAGCATGTATCTTAAAGGTGTACTTGATGCACTGAACACAACATCAGTTGCAAAAACATTGCACCTGCAAGCAACAGAAAGCTGACATGGAGGCATACAATCTGGAAGACTTTCAGGGAGTGGTCACATGGTCTAGTATGTGGGTGAAATCAGAGTCTTAAATTTTAGAACTCAGTGAGAGAGGGTTTGGCCTGAAGAGCAATGGCCCAATGCTCTCTTTGCCATTTTTTGCAACTGCTATCAGCAACATGTGAAAGCTGAAAACACTCCTGAAGTCATCTTCACCACCTGGAGAAGATTCCTGGAGATGATACATTGAAATCTCACAGTTTCCAGAGAAGAGAATTTTGTTAGCCACAACTGTTCTGGGAAGGCAAACCCAGTAATAGTAGCTGGTGTACGCAGAATACCTTCAGGATTAGAATGCCATTTGGAGCAATCTGTGATTTATTGTTTCATTTTCATGAGATTAACTGTTAATTCATAAAAGTACTTTAAAGTCAACACTCTACAGGGTTTTAATGTTTGATGTTTACTCAGATGGATCAGTTTCTGTGTTAGATTTACTTTCTTTTACATAATCCAAATGTTTATCAATAATCTTTGCATTTTTTGAGTCAGATTGTTTTGTCGTAATCAGAGTCATAGAGTCTTTACAGCATGGAAATAGATATTTTGGTCCAACCAGTCCATGCCGACCATAATCCCAAACTAAACTAGTCCCACCTTCCCTCACTTCGCCCACATCCCTCCAAGCATTTCTTATTCATGTACTTATCGAAATGTCTTTTAAACATTTTAACTGAATCTGCAACCACCACTTACTCTGGAAGTTCATTCAACACATGAACCACACTGTGCAAAAAAAAAATTGCCCCTCATCTTAAAACTTTCTCCTCTCTTCTTAAATATATGACCCCTAGCCATGAAATGCCCCATCCTAGGGAAAAGACACCTGCCATTCACATTATCGATACCCCTCATGATTTTATAAACCTCTATAACCAATCCTTGTGGAACCCCCACTGCTGATCATAGGCTTCCAGGCCAGAAAACAATCTTCCTCTACCACTCTCTGTCTCCTGCCGTAAAGTCAATTTTGTATCCAATTGCAAGCTCAACCTGAGCTAACTTTACTAATTAGTCTAACTTTACTAATTACTCCACCATGTAGAACCTTGTTATAGGTTTTACTAAAGTCCAAATAAACAATGTCTACCTCTCTGCCCTCGTCAATACTCTTGCTTACTTCCTCAAAAAACTCAATCAAGTTTATGAGAAAAGATTTCTCTTGCACGAAATCATGTTGTCAATCCCTAATCATCACTTCCCTTTACAAATGCATATAAGTCCTATTTTTCACAATCATGAATCACATAATAAACCAGTTATTTATTGTTGATTAAAGAAACCTGGCTGAATCATTCTTAAGGTCGCAGACTTGCTCACCGAGCCGGTGTGTTTGATTGCAGACGTTTCGTCACCCTGCTAGGTAACATCGTCAGTGCGCCTCCGGTGAAGCGTCAGTGTTCCTTCCCGCTTGTTACTTACATGCCTTGGTTTGCTGGGGTGGTTGGTATCACTTCCAGTTTTGTTCTTCAGTGGTTTGTATAGCAGATCCAGTTCAATGTGTTTGTTAATGGAACTCCATTAACAAACGCATTGAACTGGATCTACTATACAAACCACTGAAGAACAAAACTGGAAGTGATACCAACAACCCCAGCAAACCAAGGCATATAAATAACAAGCGGGAAGGAACACCGACGCTTCACCGGAGGCGCACTGACGATGTTACCTAGCGCGGTGAGGAAACGTCTGCAATCAAACACATCGGCTCGGTGAGCAAGTCTGTGACCTCATCCACAACCCGAGCTACAAATCTTCTCAAAAACTTTGAATCATTCCTAAGACTAAACATGACATGCATATTTAATAGTCCATTGACATTACCATTTGGCCTTCAGTGATTTTTGGTCCTTATCCTGTCAATGTGTGAACTTATTCTAGAAGAGCAGGAATGGTAAAATATTGACCGGAGTCCAGAAATACAAGCAGGCTAGGATAGATCAAGTGAAAATCACTTTGGTGCAATCTGAAATGCACTTAGGTAGAAGAGAGGAACTAAAATCAGCTCTCACCTGTTTCAATTAATCCATTTTAACATATAATGTCTCTTTAATCAATCAAGCATAAAAAAAATGCTAACATTAATTAAATATCCTGACAAACTTACAATTGCATGTATGACACAAACTTTACTTACTTTGCCAGTTTTGATAAAAGCAGGGAGATGGTTATTAGCATCAATGACATTAATCTGCACTATTGCAGTGCTGCTGAGGATGTTCACACCATTGTCTCTTGCTTTAACAGTCAGAGTGTAAGATTTGACCTTCTAAAAGAGACAAGTTATACAAATAATCAAAAAAAAAGTTTTATGTTCTGAATAAAGTCAAAATACTGCAAGTACTGAACATTTGAAACAAGCACTGAGAATGCTTGAGAAACTCAGCTGGTCTGGCAGAATCTGTGGAGGGAGAAACAAAGTAAATGTTCCAAGTCCAGTATGATGCTTCTTCAGTTTCTCCAGCATTCTTGGTGTTTGTTTTACATTTTGAAAACTTTTCACATATCAAAACCTAAAGAACTGCACATGCTGTAAATCAGAAACAAAAACACAAATTGCTGGAAAAGCTCAGCAGGTCAGGCAGCATCTGTGAAGAAAAAAAGGAGTTAATGTTTCGGATCCAGTGACACTCCCTCAAAACTCATGGTAGCTAGGAAAATGTAGGTTGATATGCAGAATTCTTTCTTGATTTTTTTTTTGTTAACAAATTCAACAAAAACAATTTGTGCTTTTGTTTTCACATATCTCCTGTTCAAAAAGACTGATTCACAATCAAAAGACAAGACAACCACAAATCCACAGAATTGAAAATACGAGTAAGGAAACCTTGCTATAAGTATACAGTCCTTTGATGAGACCATGTGCTGTGCAACGTGCAATATATCCTTCTTTTTTAAGTAGTCTGCAGCCAATTCATTTAGGTGTGTGGGCCCTTCAAAACTTTTACATGACTGCACATATTGCAGTAAAATGAAGATGCTGACCTGAGCGCAGAAAGGGTTCTGTACGAACTCATTCCAGCCATCGGCACATGCATGGCTTCTCCACTGTAATGATATTATTGTGTGCTCATTACCATTCACCTCCCCTGACTCACTGTCCATCAGACAACCCCTCACTGCTTCACCCTTAAGAATTCAACATCTTCTTTTCAAACTCTTGTGCCCCATTACCATCTCAGATCCTGGTTCACACTTCCCCTACCCCTCACTGACATCTTCCCATGCCCTTGTCAATTCCTTTCTGAACCCTTATGTCCTCTGATAACTCTTTGACACCTTTCTCCTGATGCCTCACTGCTTATCTCCTGAACCCTCATCACCTTCTTCCATTCCCTTGCCCTGCCCTGATCTGACTCCCATTTATCTCCCAACCCCTCATCACCCTCTACTGAGCTATCCAAACCATCCACCTGAGCCCTCCACACTGCATTCCCAAGCTCTCCCTTAATTCATACTATCATGCAAGTCCTCACTGTCTCTCACTCATCACTGTCACTCTGACCTCTTTGTGCCCATCTCTTATAATGTTGCCGTACCCTTCCCAACCCCTCATCATCCCAACTTAGATATCTCACCACCTCACTGGCCACCCAGTGTGCTATGTCACCAACAAGTGAGAGGCTGAGAAAGTTCTACGAAGGGATGATACAATGATGTGACAAAGATTTAGTTGAGAGTTGTTAATGAACAGATGGACAAAATGTGCACAACAATGATGGCTAAGGAAAATACACATGCTGGCAAATTGAGTTGCATACACGCTGTTCCTGTGCAGCAGTCATCAGGAAAGTTCTAGATTCTATTATTAAGCACAGTTTATCAATGCATTTAAAAGTCATGGTATAATCAGACAAAGATAAAATTTCTGAAAGGGAAACAATGTTGGACAAATTTATTACATACACCTTATGTTTCGATGTTCAAATGTATTAGATTTCTTTGAGAAAGTAACCAATGGGGTGGATAAATAGGAGCCAATAGAAGTAGCCTATTTGGATTTCCAAAAGTCATTCAATAAGGGTCATAAAACATGTTAATATACAAAATACAGGTTCACAGATGGAGATTAGTGAATGGACAGGAAAGAGCAACTAGGAATGAGCAGTGGTTTTCAAACTGACGGGCTAAGCTAATGATTTATTACTAAGATCAGAGCTGAGGTCTTGGCTACTTACAGTTAATATTGAGGACTAAGACAAAGAGATGGAGAATAACGTATCTAATTTTCTAATGTAAAGGTAGGTGGGAATGTCAGCTGTAAGTAGAACACATGAGGCTACATAAAAATATCAACAAGGTTAAATTTGACAATGAACAACTGGCAGCAGATTGCGTATGATATGGAGAGGTGTGGTTATTTAATTTAATAGTACAAACAGAATAGCAGAATTGTTTTTAAAAAGTGTCAAACTTCTAAAAGTCGACATTCAGAGGGGCTTAGATATACTGATCAAAGTTAACATGCAGATATGATAAGCAATTAGGAAAGCAAACTGTTTTTTGGCCTTTCTTGTAAGTGGATTAGAATAAAAGAGTAAGCATTGGTACAATTGTATAGCCTTTGGGAATTGAACATGTAGAGTTCCTTGAGCAATTTCAGTTTCCAATTCAAAAGAATGAAAACTTGCATTGACCGACAGGACAGTGAAGGCTCACTAGCTTGACCCATGGGAGGAAATGATTGTCCCCTGAAGAAAGGCTGAAGGTATTATGTCTATAATGTCTGAAGTTTAAAACAATGAGTGTGGATATTGTTGCAACATTTAACATTGTGAAGGGATTTGAGAATGTAGAAACTGAGAGAATGTTTTCCCTGATTGAAGAATATGGAAGAAGGGGTCAATCATTTAGGACTGTGATGAGCAGAAATATTTGCCCAGAGGATTGTGAACCTTTGGGAGTATCGACCTGAGTAGGTGTGGAAGCTGCATCAATGTATTATATTTAAGACTGAAGTTAGCAGATGATTGGTCTCAGAGAATCAAGAGATAGAGGCATGTGTAGAAGATCAGCTGTGACAGTATTAAATGGCACAACAGGCTTGGCAAAGGTTGGGGAGGTAGAGTGGCTGGTGGTACTGTAATGACTCTTCCTACTCTGGTTACAAGTTCTTATATTCAAATGATACATTTTGCAGTATTAAGAGAATTGAGGAATATGGGGATAATGCAGAAAAGCAAAACTGAGATACAAGATCAATCACGATCTTATCAGATGCCAAACAAACTTCTGCTGCCTTAGCCCAAATGTTTGCTTCCATTCCTTACGTTCTTTTAAGGTTTGGTTGTGTAATTAAATGCTTCAATCAAGGAATGATGATCACAGGGAACACTGGTTGAAAAATCACAGCCTTGCACTCCTGATTGTTCCTCCATCAGTTTAATTGTTTGTAAAATCAAGGTTTTCAGACCTATTTTGATGTCTTTTGCAAATATTTTCTTTCATAGAGTTACCAACTGAGGAATTTGCAATATGCTATCCAAGAATGTAATTTTGCTGTTCCTTAAGATTAGACCTGTGACCGTTGCCATCAAGGTGTGGGAGTATCAAAGGTGACCTATCCCTGAGCCTCTAAATCAGAAACTCTCTGAGCAGTTCAAAGATGACACAGGAATATTGTGACTTTTCTACAATTTCTGATTAAATCAATATTTTTCTATGATGCAGGCATCAAGAATAATCTCTCTTTTTCATCTGTCATTCCTTCTCTCCTGCTCTGTTTGCTGCTGCTCATACCAGATCTGCTGTTTTGGAATGTCCAATGCTGAAATGCTGACATTTTCTTATCTTACACTTTTTAAGAGCACTTTTGTTTTTTGCCCAAGTAATTTCAAGCAGCTCTTTACTTGCCTTGCTCATAATGAAATATTAAGCATTCCTCAGCTCCCTCAATCAATGCAATCTTCAAGCTCCTAAACCCCAAGTTGGATATAATCTGATGTGCTGTATCTTCTTTACTCTTCTTAATCTTTCTAAAATCACGTAGATGTATCATTTGGATACTCTTCACCAAGATTTCAGTATATTAAAGAATGTCATTTCCTTGTATACTCATTTAAATATTAGCATACCTCATAATTTAGGCATCCCATAAAACTTATTGCTCCATTTGTATTATTGATGTAAAAATGACTGAGATCTCTTGAGGGTTTCTGAGAAATCATTGAGTACGATATAAATGAGTTGTCATGGTCTTTCTCATCCGCATCTGTGGCAATAACCCTGAAAATTTCTTTGCCTAAACAAAGCACAATTCATTTTGTAAAACAGTTGCTGGTATGAAATTTAGTTATATTTATCATTTACAACTGTATGTTATGTTGAGCATTTCAAGAACATACTGTAGGTTCTTTTTTTATGTCAGCATTTACTATCACACACCCTTGAAGCCTCATTGCAATAGATTTACATTTATTTAAACAATTACTGATTGTTCTAGGTCTCAGAACTTCTCTATATCATTTGTCACCATATATGATGGAGATATGGATATCAAGGGATCATACTGATTTTAATGATCACGAAATACATTTGAATAAGGTGTACTTTTTCAGTTCAACTGATTTCATGCTTCTATAATTGTCAAATTCATCATGAATTGACAATGACTATATCAATTGTATCAAATGAGTGTCCTAGCTTCCAAAACCTTTCTTTTCAAACTATCCAACTCTTGATTACACTCTGTTTAAATAAGCACTTCTTGATGTCTGTCCTAAATCTGTTATTCACAATTCCAGATCCATGCTTTACTGTCTTTATGATTAAGCAGCACTAAAGTATTTTCTGTGCTTGTTGTGTCGGTTCCATTAAGGATGTTACACATTCCTACTTATATCTCTAACGTTTATACTGCTGAAATAAATGCAGAATTATTGTAAACAGATACTGTAAGTACATCTGTAAGGATATTGCAATCTCTTTTTTTCCACACTGTATTTGACAGGACAACTCTTAGCTGATGTAATTTAAGTGATTCGAAAATCTAATTAGCATTTAATTCCTTGGTCAGCATTGCCCTGGGTTTGTCCTGCAACTCTGTGCGCTTCAAAACTGAGTTGAATGATTTTTGAACACCACTGATTAATAAAAAGAATGATGAAAGAAAATTTGGTTCTCTGTGTGCCCCCTAAAACCTGTTTCAGAATAGCATTTTCTCAGCTCAGCTGCCTATCTCCAGGCTTTAAATTGGACATGGTTTGGGAAGAAATGAGGGCAGTAAAGAAAGTCAGCTACCGAATTTCAATGGTATCTTCTTGGATCTTGTGTTTGGCTATTCCACATTTGTGAGCCTGGTCAGTGGCCTGAAAAGATTCCTAGTTAGGGCCCTGGTCCAGGAGCAAAATGGGAAAAGAACACACTGGGTAAGCTAACCATCAGGTTCCTCCTTCCCAGCATCTTATCAGACATGAAGTGACAATGACAGAGACTACCTATCCAGCAGCGACAAGTAATCAGTTATACCCATCATTGGGCTATTTTGGGGGAGAGATTCTGCTGCTACTTTGATCTTTCAAATGGTGGTCAGGTACCTATTGAAGCCAAACCTGTCATTTAAGAGACCGGGTAGCCATTACACCTTCCTCTCGACAGATCTGCTAGAAATGCTACAACAGCAGCCTCAGGCCATCCAATGGAGTTGTTCCCCAGGATCTAGTTTTAATATTTTGCAATTCACAGAGAGCAACTCCATTTTGAATTTCCCTCATTTCCTCTTGCCTATCTCTGGAGGACCCATACCTGGAGGACCTCGAGGGGTAGCACGGTGACTCACTAGGTAGCACTGGTGCCTCTCAGAGCCAGTATCCCAGTTTCAATTCCACCCTCGGGCGACTGTCTGTGTGGGGTTTGCACATTCTGTCCGTGTCTGCGTGGATTTCCTCTGGGTGCTCCGGTTTCCTCCCACAGTCCAGAGATGTGCAGGTTAGGTGGATTGGCCATGCTAAATTGCCCATAGTGTCCAGGACATACAGGCTAAGTCAATTACCCATGGGAAATAGAGGGTTGCAGGGATAGGGTAGGTCTGGATGGGATGCTCTTCAAATGGCCTGCTTCCAGACTGTAGGGATTCTATACCTTGCAGTCATGCTGCTGGTCAGACATGGCTCTGAGGCTTCCCATTGTGGTTTCTGTCATCCTCCAACCATCCTTAATTGGAGAGGGCTCTCAGTCACAACTTCTGAACTAGTTATTACTAGGAAGCTCACAAGCAATGTCCCACCACAGCTACTTCTGAGTTCCCAGTGCAGAATTGGGGTCAATGTCAGAATCGCGACCAACTGAGAAAATCCAGACAATGTGTTAGGTAGCTATCAAGCCACATTGTTTTATACTTAAGAAGTTCAGTTTACTGAAACAGTTCCTTATTTGAATTTTGACTAATTATATGTTTTAAAGGATCACTACAAAGTAACACCTTACCTTCGACAGTATTTTCAGGTACATTTACTTCATATACTGAACGACTGAAGATTGGTGCATTGTCATTGATATCGTTCACTTTAATCCTGTACTTCAAGGTTTGATCTACTTTCATTAAGGTTTCAGCATTCAAAGCATCAACAGTCAGCTGAATAAAAATATAAATTGAGGTGAAGAAACATACTTTAGTTCACAGTTGATGAAAACAGAATGAAAATTCTGCTTGAATAATTAACTTAATGAGCTATTTTTTCATTTCCATACCACAACATTCTAGATCAAGTTTCTGTTTTAAATGCGTGCAATGTTGGGAGATAGAATGATCTTACTGAAGGTTGCAAAATTATCCTGTGCCAATTCTTCCATACTATGCATTGTGACCTAGAAATCGAATTCTAGCTTAATCAGAAAATTAAGAACTACATTTTTCACAGATTTTCACAACCTCCAGGCAAAACAACAGGACTGTACAATTTTGCTGTGGCCAATTTCATGACTCACAATTTAATTATTAATCAGCTTTGGGATCAGCTACTTGAGAAGAGTGGACATACTTGTGATTTGTGATCCTTCAATAGTTCAGAAGGAACTAACAAGGAATCTAACCAATGTAAATGATGACAAATTATGAAAACAGACTGGATAGACTGGAGTTGTTTTCCTTGGAGGTGCAGAGACTGAGGGGACATGACAGAGATGTACAGTGGCTGCAAAGGTAGAGTAGACAGAAATAAACTTTCCCCCTTAGTGGAAGGATTGATGACCTTGAGGCATAGATTAAAGGCAAGGGGCAGGACGTTTATAGGCGATGTTAGAAAATTCTTTTTCAGCCAGAGAGCAGTGGGAATCTAGAACTTACTGCCTGTGGGATGAATATCTAACGATGATGAGTCAAACTACAGAAGGGAGATAGAGGGCTCGGTGATGTGGTGCAATGAAAACAATCTGTCTCTCAACGTCTGCAAAACTAAAGAATTGGTCAGTGACTTCAGAAAGAAAGGAGGAGAACACGTCCTATCTACTTCAATGGAACGGAGGTTGAGAGCGTGAAGAGTATCAGATCCTCAGGGCTACGATAACTGACAACCTGTCCTGGACTTCCCACATAGATGCGACAGTCAATAAGGCACAACAGCGCCTCTTCTTCCTCAGGCGGCTCAGGAAATTTGGCATGTCCATAAGCTCCCTCACCAACTTCTACAGGTGCACCATTGAAAACATACTTTCTGGATGCATAATGGCCTGGTACGGCAACTGCTCTGCCCAGGACTGTAAGAAAGTACGGAAGGTGGTATGCACAGCCCAGACCATCACAGAAGACAACCTTCCATCCATGGACTCCATTTACACGGCTGGCTGCTGTGGAAAGGCGGCCAACATCAAAGACCCCTCCCACCCCGGTAATGATCTCCTACGACCTCTTCCATCAGGCAGAAGTTATAGAAGCCTGTACCCACGCACAAGCAGGTTCAGGAACAGCTTCTTCCTGGCCATTACCTGCCTGATGAATGGACTCTGCAGCCTCAAATAATGCTGATCTTGCTAACATTGATTTTGCCTAGTGCAATCAATCTAATCTGTATGCCTCTGTCTGAGTCTTTTTGACCTGTACATGCTTTGTTTCCTATGAGTGCCTGTACCACTCATAAACAAAGCTTTCCACTGTATTTCAGTATACATGACAATAAATCAATCAATCAATCAATCAATCAATAAATAAGGGTGGTAGAGGCAGAAATCCTCGTGATATTTAAAAAGTATTAAAAGTGTTTGTGATTCCAAGGCAAACAAGGGTCTGATCCAAACGTTGGAAAATGGGATTTAGAATAGTTAGGTGGTTGTTTTTGACTAGCCACACTCGATGGGCCAAAGGGTCTTTTTCTATGCTGCAGACCTCTATGACTATGATTCTAAATTCTAGAATGCAAGACTAGAGTGTAATGAATTTGCCAATTTGATTCTGTGAAGAACTTATAAAGCCTATTGCACTAATTGGGGCTATCTAGTCTCTTTTGTCTGCATATTAAAGAAATGCACAGTTTTCATTCAGGGTGGCCCAAAGTGTGTTTCAATGTTGTGCTTTGAATATAATATAAAAAGTCTCAATCAACAATCCGTGTAAACTTGATAATAAATACTGTGAAAAGCTGAAGGGAAGTGCAAAGGTTTTGCACTTGAAGAAGAGTGTCAAGATAAGGCAATATTATTAATTCTGGGACACAAGGTTATGAGTCCAAGCCCCACTTCCATGCTTCCATTTAATAAAGGTAGACAGTGCAGGTTGTCAAGAATGCTACAGAAGACTATCTTTTCAGGTGAATTGTTAAACTGAGAACACATCTAATCGATCAGGTGAATTTAAAACATCATGCCTGAAGAAAGAGCTGTCCCATGTTGTTCAGGCTGACACTGAACAAAATCAGCAAACTAAGTTCATTGATATGAAAAATACAGTGGGATGTTTTGCTTGAATTAACTGTCATGTTTACCAACACAACAACACTTCAAATCAGTTAGCTTTAAAAAAAATTTTAGTTGCTTGAGGATATGAAACACACCATATAAAAGTAGATTACCTTTAAAGGTAATTACAGGAAGGAAAGAAATAGCTGATGGCAGACTGTCTGGAAAAAAAAATTAAATATTCATTCATCCACAAAATATTTCCAGCTGCTGTCTTTCTAAAATGTGGACCTTTAACATGCAACCATGGAAGACACATTGAGCACCGTTAGTAGAAGGATCTCAGTCTAATAATACACTGAGTGTGCAAACATTTGATCTGAGTTCAAGAAACACTGAGGAAGATTCGTAATTGAGAAACCAGAAAATGTGATAGAACACTGAAAGCCAAGACAATATGGTATAAAACACTGTCTGAATAATTTCAAAAAGAAAATTTCTAATCATAGTGAATTGAATACCCATCCGACAATAAAAATACGACATGAAGAGCTCATTGGTCAGATGAATAGTTGTAGGTATGGTCATCCCATAATCTTAACCCACATTATATGTTTAAGTAGTTAACTATTGCAACAATCTTATAACATGGATTCGAAAAGCCTGAAGAGTTACAAAAAAATTGAACTGTACTTCAAATAGTGGTGTTTTTTCACGGTCAACTTTGCGAGTAATCATTATTGATCCCATGCTTTTGTTTAAGTGGAATAAGCCCATCTCCGGTGGTTTGTCAACTCCACTGCCACTCAGTCTGAATATAACTTTCTCCACAATTGTCTTGTCATTATTGATCTATGAAAATAAAATAAAATTGCAAATTATAATAAATATCATACAATACAAAATAGTTGGTCTGCTCTCAAAGCTAATGAGTGGTAACTGGTTAGAACACAGCAGATGTCAGGTCATTTTATGTTAACTTGTGTTTTGTACTATTTTGTACAATTAATATGCAATTAACAAAAAAAGCAATAACATGTAGAAGTTAATGATAAAATACATTGTAAAAGAGAACAGTTTAGGCTTTGACATTAAATTTGATCCCAAGAGTAGTGTAAAGAAATAGTATAAATTATAGACCCACATTGAAGAAGGCAGCATCGTGCAAGCAAGCAATCATAAAGTTTCAAAGGAATCAACATTACATTAAGGTAGAATAAGTTTTAGATGATTTTGATGGCAGAATCAATTTTGTTTGAAATAACAGTAAACTAAAGTTTATTGATCATATTATGTGAGGTGCAGATATGAGGATCATTTAATAGAATTCCTACGGTGTGGAAACAGGCCATTCGGCCCAACAGATCCACACCAACTCTCTGAGGAGCATCCCCCAATATTAATCCACCTGGCCTACCCATTCACAGACACAATGGGAGGAAACCAGAGCACCCGGAGAATTCCCACACAGACACGGGGAGAATGTGCAAACTCCACACAGACGTCACCTTGGTGCTGTGAGGCAGCAGTGCTAACCAATGAACAACTGTGCTGCCCACTGTTTTCATGTAGGTTAGGTGTAAAGGGCAAAATGAGAAAAAGCTGAGACAGTGGGGCTGCAGAAGTTGAACCACAGGCTGGTCGAACAACACAACAGGAAGAGACAGAGACAATGAATTAAAAGAAATATAAAATCATGATTGAGAACTGAAGGAACAACATTAGGAGGAGACAAAGTTGTTACTCTATCCAGTTGAGGGGGTAAAAACATTTTACACATACTTTTGTTTTTATTTTTCATTTTGTTTTAATTTTATACGGACTCTTATCTAATCTATTGATCATGATTTCTAATTACTCAAATGCAGTCTTTGCATTCTATCAAATATTCTCCAGAGTCGATTGGATGTACCAGTGCGAAGGTTTGGAGGAGCAGAAAAATGAATGTGGGAACTGTGCCAGAACACCTGTAGCCACGTGTATGTTATTGATACTTTCAACCAGCTTTAAAAGTCAACTTTACTTCCAAGTCCCCTGGTCTAATTTTAACTCAGTGTAATTGAGTGGGTTTTAAATTAGTTAAATTCTCTTCTCTCTTCTCCCACCTCTTTCCAAATGCTTTGCAACATTGTTCAATCAGGAAGATAATCTCAAGTGGCAAGCAGCTCCTTCCATTTAATGTCATTTCATCTCCACTGCATCAGTTGTCAACAAAAGTTTGGACTAATACAATTCTTCATTTCTGAGCCACAGATTTGTTTAGCTGTCTCCACAACAACTGGATTTGACCAGCCATTTTACTTACACAAATAGCATAATTACAGGTTTAAGTATAATTTTAGAAACACCACAAAACTGTTATAAATATTTAAGCATACCAACAATTTAACCTTATACACTGCAACAATTACATAAGTTGACTGCATTCTTTTACATTTAAGCCTACCTATCACCCAAATGGAAATTTGTAAAAACTGTGACTTACTCGCACAGCACATTTAGGAAAAGGTCCTTCATCTTCTTCCACAATAGTAATAGTACCTAGAACCCACATTCTCTTCTGGCGGTGCAATATAACCGGCTCTACTTCTTCAGCCTCTTGAGTGCCAAAGTTCTGAAATAAATAATCTTGCTATTTAACCGTTATTCACAAATAATATTGGCTGTCATAATTTTCTGTGAAATCACCCTGTTATTTTAGAACAAATGAAAAGAATGCAAACTAGAAGATCAATCACAATCCTTTTGAATTTGTAATCAATTCATAAAAGTTTTCATTAGAATAGATGAAGATCTGCTCCCCTTTCTGACAACCTACCAACTATGGCATCTTCCTTGATAAATTATGAGGTAGCTCCTCAGTGTTTGTGTGCAAGAATTTAACATTTGAAGTAGAGGACTGCCAATCAATGTGCAAGAGAAGTATTTGGGATGGGGGAAAATTGACCGTAGGTGTTCCTGCTTCGTTCAGGAGAAGAAATTATATGTTAGTTTGAAGATTTATGAAGAGAAAACGATGGACATTTTCTTAATTATCTTGCATTTTTTTCTACATTACATTTCTACAAAAAACTTTAAAGTACTTTATTTGCTGTACCGCATTTTCAGATTTCCTGAGATTTTGAAAGGCAAAATATTTGATATAAGTCACTTTTTCTTATATACTGAAAAGAGAAACATATCCAAGAGAAAACGAATCCATCGTGCCTTAGAGCAAAATGAACAATATTATAAAGGATAAAATGAAATTCTTGAAAAGTTAGTTAGGCTTTAAAAACACCAGTCACCAGGGTCTCACAAGATATATCTTCACACGGTAATTTTGTTGGAAGGGAATAATTGTATGGTTAGTCTTTACTGATACAACTTGAATCAAATTTTGTTATGCATACACAGTAATGCAGTCTGATTCATTATGCATACATTGGCAAGCTCGCGTAGCACCACAGAACAGTTGCAGTGTGCAATGGATAGATGACTGATTGGTGGAAATAGTCCTTGATAATAACTTGAGGAAATAAAAGGAGATCAAGAAAAGCGCTTCACTTTTATAAGTAGATTCACAAATGCAAAAAGAGAATTTGGCTGTTTGGTCCTTCAGTATGAATCTGGCCTGTTCTAATCTTAATTATATTTCAAATTCATCAATAATTTTCCTTCTGTCAGTTAGTCATAGGAGTCAGACAAGACACCTTTGTAATTAAGTAAACCAAACTGAGCATTCTCCAGTGTTAGAACAAGTTGTCCGCCAAAAGTCTAGTATATGTTTACATTCAGTATGGATCTCTTACAACTGTGCACAGCGCAGCTTTGGAACTAGAAGAGATTGCTGCAATCGGCGCACTGATTGTTCTGCACAAAAACACATGCAGTTTAGAGGGAAAATTATTCACAAAGAGTCAGAGATGGTGAGCAGATGACAGCCCTTCCTGGTGTGGCTTTAGTAATGGTGAGATTGTTCTGAAAATACAAAAATCATTTTTGTGTTCTGAAGATGATTTGTGATTTCTCCCCTCAAGTTTTAAATGGTGAGTTAAGAATCTTGCTGTTGAATAGTGACTACCTTATCTCCACACATTTGCAGCTCATATTAGCCTAGCCTGCCTTATTTTTTATGCCGCTTCCATTTCTCTTCTTCCATGAGAAACTAGATGGTACAAATGCTAAAAATGAAAGTCAGCGTGGGAACCTGGCACTTCATGTTCCTATGCCAACATGCTCCTTGAACTTTTGTCCACACAAGTTGACATTGTCAAGTCAACAGCCTCATCATACCATCATGACTGCTCTCAAACCAACTCAGATGCTTGACTTTGGAGCTCAGGGTTACCTATGACATGCATGCTTCTGCCATATCGCTTTCCTGCAGGGACAGAGGGTATCTGCACAGGATGCATCTTGTGTCTTTTAACTTGCTTTCTTAGCACTCCCTCATTTTGAATTTACTTGGAGGGTGCCAGCCTGCATTGTTTCATTATAGTGCCAGGGGAGAGGCATACAGCTTGTCACAGCGGGGAGAAATGAAAAATCAAGAAGGTGAACCTGTCACTTGTGATATGGTAGACTTCAGAACTTTAATAGCTGTTCATGGATTTAATGAATTAACAAAAGATAAACAGTTATACATGGAATGACGTAGAATAACTCTGCCTGGAATAAACTATTATACAGTAATTGAAAGCAGTTAGCCATACCTGGAAGTCAAGATTACATAAACAAAACTGCTTTGACACCACTTTGATAAAGTGGGTGCTTTGTTGCCACAAAGGACAAGGATTGCCCTGCAGAAAAATTTAAGAAGTTAACTCGGTGGTATAGTAGACGGTGAAGGAGATTATCTAAGATTACAAAGAGATTTTGATCACTTGGGTCAACAGGTCTGAGGAATACAAGATGGAGTTTAATTTGGACACATGCGAGGTATTGCATTTTGGTAAAACAAACAAAGGCAGGACTTATACAATTAAAAATAGAGCCTTAGGTATTATTGTGGAACAGAGAGACCTAGACGTTCAGGTATGTAATTCCTTGAAATTTGCATGACAGATAGACAGGGTGGTTCAGAAGGCAGTTAGCACACTTGCCTTCATTGCTCAGACCTTTGAGTATAGGAGTTGGGAAGTCATATTGATTGGTGAGGCCTTTTTTTGGAGTTCTGCATCCAGTTCTGGTTGCCCTGTTATAAGAAGGATATTATTAAGCTGGAGAAGGTTCAGAAGAGGTTTACCAGGATGTGGCCAGGAATGGAGGATTTAAGTTATGGGGAGAGGTTAGATGGGCTGGGACTTTTTTTCACTGGAGCATAGGAGGTTGAGGGCTGACTTTATAGAGGTTTATGAAATCATTTGGGGTATAAGATAAGGTGAGTGGTATGTGACTTTTTTCTAGGGTGGGGGAATTTCAAGACTAGGGGATTATCTATTTTTATGGTGAGAGGAAAAAGATTTAAAAACCCAAAGTAAACAGCTTGTGTGGTCTTGGGTTTTATTTTAAAGTTGGAACAATAGAAGCAGCCTGAATTGGTGTGGTCAAGCATCCAAAGATCCAGGATTTTTAGGTTTTTTTTTGTTTTTCAGTTGCAGTTATTGCTGGGGTCTGAACAGGGTTTGAAAGCTGAAGTATACCTTTCCCAGCAGAACTCTCGGCGTTTTCTCTTGATGTTTTTCCTTCTGGGCTGCTAGAATTGTATGTGAATCTATTTTATTGACGTTGCCTTCACCGAGGGTGTATTTATGGGATGTTATATGTTGGAACAGTTATTGTTTCCGAGTAAAATAATCTATTGTACTGTTAATCTTTCTATTAAAGTTAAGTTATTCAAATTTCCTTGTTCTTTTGTTGTAGTTTACATATAGTATATGAATAAAGTGTGTTTTGCTTCAAATCTGATAGTTTGACCGATCGAATTGCATCCAGAATGAAATGTTTGTCACTTGCCTTTAAAATAAGATAAATTAGGCTGTAGGCTAACTTCTTAATATATTTTAAGGGGGTCTTGTCTGGTTCATAATGGTTGTGAGAACATAGAACATAGAAAAGTACAGCACAGTACAGGCCCTTCGGCCCACGATGTTGTGCCAACCTATTATCCTACTAAGATCAATCTACCCTGCATACTCTACATTTTACTATTCTCCATATGCCTATCCAAGAGCTGCTTAATAGTCTCTAATGTATCTGACTCCACTACCACTGCCGGCAGCGCATTCCACACACCCACCACTCTCTGTGTGAAGATCCTACCTCGGACATCTCCCCTATATCTTCCTCCAATCACCTGAACATTTTGCCCCCTCGTAATAGTCATTTCCGCCCTGGGAAAAAATCTCTGACTATCCCACTCTATCTATGCTTCTCATCATCTTGTAAACCTCTATCAAGTCACCTCTCATCCTTCTTCACTCCAGTGAAAAAAGCCCCAGCTCCCTCAACCTTTTCTCATAAGACCTGCCCTCCAGTCCAGGCAGCATCCTGGTAAATCTCCTCTGCACCCTCTCTAAAGCTTCCACATCTTTCCTGTAATGAGGTGACCAGAACTGAACACAATATTCCAAGTGTGGTCTAACCAGAGTTTTATAGAGCTGCAGCATAACCTCACGGCTCTTAAACTCAATTCCCCTGCCAATGAAAGCCATCACACCATAAGCCTTCTTTATAACCCTATCAGCTTGGGTACCAACTTTGAGGGATCTATGGACGTGGACCCCAAGATCCCTCTGTTCCTCCACTCTGCTGAGAATCCTACCGTTAACCCTGTATTCTGCAATCAAATTCGACCTTCCAAAATGAATCATTTTGCACTTTTCTGGGTTGAATTTCATCTGCCACTTCTATGCCCAGCTCAGCATCCTGTCAATGTCCCATTGCAACCTACAACAGCACTCCACGCTGTCCACAACTCCACCAACCTTTGTGTCATCGGCAAACTTACTAACCCACCCTTCCACTTCCTCATCCAAGTCATTGATAAAGATCACAAAGAGCAGAGGTCCCAGAACAGATCCCTGCGGAACACCTGGGAGCTGCCATGACTCTTCCATACTCGAGAAGTCATAGGATCCTGACTCTCCAAAATCTGCAGTCCCTATAGCAACGCATGCAAGGGATAAGGCTACCCTCTCCAAATATGGTTGGTGAGACCTTTATGAAGCCTTCAGATTGATGCAGAACAAAGAAACAAGTCTGCTCAATTTTCCACCATGGCAACACTGAACTAGACCATTTCCTTCCATAAGGTACAGTTTTTGATGCTGTGGCAGGGCATTGCAGTAGAGTCCAGATAGAATGTGCTATGTCATTGAGGCAGGCTGAGCCATTCACAACTGGAGATGATAAAGATGGGAATATCCTGGATAAAGAAGAAATTGGGGATCAAAAGCAATCCTCTAAGGTTGAAGATAATGATGAGGACATTGACAAGTAGGGCCATTCAAGAGAGCATGACAAAGTAATGAATCACTGAGCATGCAACGCCAGAGAGAAACTCAAAGTAACTGGCTTCTAAGATGAATGAGCCAGTTTGGACTTTAATTGTTGAAGTTTCTGCCGCTAAGCTGGGAAGCAGCCCCTGCTGCATGCAAAGGAGATGTGAACCTTTGTTATTGTTGCAGTCTT